CCCCGTCGCTGAGTGTGGCTCGCCACGAGCCACAGGAGGAAGGCATCTTTAAAAAGACGCGGCTCTTTTAGATGATAGACGTGTGAGTCGCGGGGCGAGCACACACACACACACACACACACACATACACACAGAGCAGAGTAAAGGATATATAGTACGCCGGAAAGCGCAGCAAGTACGGCGGCTGAAGGCGGCGAGGTGAAGGCCAGCGACTTCAGGCTCGAGGGCTCGTCCCGCTGAAGGCTTGCGTCGACGGCGCAGCTTCTCACTCCGGATCCAGCGATGCGTGAGGCTTCGCTGAAGAGATGAAAATCAGTGTACCAGCCTTATCGAGCTATTTTATAGGGCGAGACCACGCCCTTTCTGGCGGGACGTGACGAAAGACGTCAAGACGTCACGTCACTGCTTTTGCCGCAGAGCAGCCAATAGGCGCGCGAGCCGCCTCGCCTATGTCTGCTTGCTGCCGCAAAGCGTTTTGCATTGATTAAAAATTAAGGATAATTTTTGGCTTCAATATCTCGAGGAAAGAGGTTTTCCCCATAGCGTAAGATATTACGCAGTATGAGAGATACTCTCGTAAGAGAACTGGATTCTGACCAGGTCAAAACATGACCCTGATGGACTTATTCTCAAGCTACTTCTTGATTGTCTTTGCTATTTAGGCTGGAACTAGGGTCTTGTTGAAAAATAACAACTTTGGAAAAAAACTTTTCAATTGTGAGAAGCAAGTAATTCTGAAATAATCACCTGTACTCCAACACATGAATTGACTTTTTACAGTGAAGCAGCTCACCTATACCGGCAACTAATTAGGCTTTCCACACAATGACACATCTTCCTCCATGCTTCTCTGTGGTAGAGATGCATTTCTCATTAATTTTCTCACCAGATCTTCGAATCTTTGTTTTTTGCTTAAATTTAGCTAATTTCCTGACCAATAATTTGCGGTTAAGACTATTGAAAGCTTAGTGTTCAACTATTTTGAGGCTTAGCCCATAGTTTTTGCCAAGGAGTGTACATGAAAAAATCAACGCATTCTCATCCTTTGGCGTCACATAGGTGACGCCATATGACATTTCGTCGAAATCTTACGCACATGGCATCCTTTAGCGTCAATATAACATGCACTGGTATGGGTAGGTTTAGGTCTTGGGTAGGGTACGGTTATGACGCCTTGGGATCTGCGTCTCAAATTGACGCTAAACATTGCCATGTGCGTCGGATTTAGACGAGCGTCACCTGTATGACGCCTTGGGTTCTGCGTCTCATATTGATGCTAAAGGATGAGAACGGGCTGGAAAAAATATGATATTTGAATGAAAATGGAAGCTTTAGCGTGAAGTTCTGCCAGGAAGACTCAATTGCTACGTCACTTATTACCTTCTCCTCTATCCAATCGTGTCTAATACTTGCGGTATAAAAGACCAGTACTTACACATGTTTGAGTTTGTAGATGCTGACGCTTTCATTCACCTCCATCCTCCCCACCACCACCAGGATGGTCCCTTCCTATACCTCACAGGGGGTCGGCTGCGCCACTGCCTTCGTCTTCAGGCAGGAAATGCAGAGTCCGGACCCTCGGATTGCGAGCTATGGACAGGGCCTACGCCAAAGAACTTTATTGCTTGCTGGGCTATCAATAAATGTATTTCTACCATAAAGACTCAGAAGGATTCTCGAATAAAATAGAATTTAATTTGTGAAAGGAGTTTACAGACAAAAAATAAAAGTAGATGCTCGACAAGCTCCGTCTCAGAGTTCTTTGGCGTAGGCCCCGTCCTCCGTCCGGGTCTGAAGGTTAGCTTGTAGGTCCTGCCTGATGTTAGAGGCAGGGGCGGAGCCTACCCCCCGACGAGTGGACGGGAGCCATTCTGGTGGTGGTGGGGATGATGGGATAAAACTTTGCTACGACACCTGCAGGCAACAACATGGGACGGTAAGATCAGTCTTTTATATTCAATGTCAAGCTGTGATTGGTAGCGTGGAATTATAAATCAATGACGTGGCAGTGAGGTCTTTCTGGTAAAACTTACGCTTACGCTTTCATTTATTGTTACAGTATTTATTCTCCCGAGTCTTTCTGGTAGAACTTAAATGTTTGTCTAATTTTTCTCAATATAGGTTAAGATACTGTGATATGACAAATGAGTGTTGTCTGAAATCAAACCCATCACACCTGAGAGAGCTGAACCTGAGTGGGAATAAACTTGGAGACTCTGGAGTTGAAAACATATGTGATCTACTGATAAATTCACAGTGCAAGCTAGAAATACTAGAGTTAATATTGCTCTGTACAGCAATTACAGTGTGGTTAAAGTTCACTTTTTATATTTTAAGACAACAAGGCTGAAGTTGCATAATTTATAGCACTGCACTTTCTTTCATTTTAACATCTGAAGATACATTGATAGTGCACAAACTTTTTTTGAGTGAAGATGGCTTCAGACATGGGTTGTAACTAATATTCCCAAATCCTAGTTAATGCTTCTTTGTTGGTTTATTGTTTGGTGCTGTTTTAGTGTACTGCATGGCATTTAATCATGATAACTTGCATGTATGTAACACGGATCTGAGCCATTGTCCTTTTTGTCTTCAGTCTGTGTGGATGCATTATTACAGAGAAACAGTGTCTCATCCTGACTTCAGCTCTGAAATCAAACCCATCACACCTGAGAGAGCTGGACCTCAGTGGAAATAAACTAGAAAATACAGGAGTGTAGCACTTTTGTGACGTACTGAAGGATTCACACTGTAAACTGGAGAGATTAAGGTTAGTAACATTCACATATAAGAATCAAAATGAGAGCAAAACATAACATTTTGACTAAATATTTGTCATTTACCTTTTTCTAAAATGATTATAAATAACAGTAACTGTAATGAAATCAGAGTAATGAGATAACGAGAATAATATTTGCAGAAAAATATCATTAATAAGTTGCAGAATGTATGTGTACCTGCAGAACCATACCCCTGACACTTTGATTGTGCTTTTATTTTTCATGGTAAAGATGACCATGCCTTAAAAAGTTAATTTCAAACTCTGGGTGAACTCTCTCTTTTTCTGTTCGTTTCTTTCTTCCCAGCCTAAATGACTGTGGAATCACAGACGTTTCTTCTTTAACCCAGTCTTTGACAAACACAAAAGCACTGCAGTTTTTAAAAGAGATTGATCTGAGTAAAAATAACATAGAAGACTCAAAGGAGCAGCTCATTGACGTGCTACGAGACCCAAACTGTAAACTGAGGTGAGTAAACATATTTTTGTTACAGTCATGCTAACACCAACAAACAAATTAACATAATTTGTGTTTTAACTCATATTTAAAATAAATATTTTTTTAGAAACATGCTCCAAATAATGGATTTTAATGTCAGTAAAGTCAGTAACTAATCTGACAGGAATTTTGTTAATTTAACTTTACACCAAAAAAGTCATTAGAATTTGAAACTTGTTCCACCTAACATTGATCATTTTCTCTTACAGCCTAGAGAGAGATCATTGGTTTAGCTGGAGAGCTGGTTTAAACCTAATTGGTAGCATTGGTGGATGGATTACATCCTTTTCTAAACCTCAGGAACCTGTTAAATCAACAGAACAAGACCAGTGAACATCAGGTGAGGGATCATAGGAAGAGCTTTACTATACTGTGTCTATGAGTATAAATTAATATGTGTGATGATGTGATGTCTGTATACTAAAATCTAAAATATACATTATATTCAAATATAAACTCTGTTGTCAACTATGAATATCAGCACACACACACAAAGAAAAACTGAACTATGTCAGAACTGGGATTTTTGGTGAGATGATGCCAAACCGCATTTCATAAATGCAAAAACTGTTCAAAACCCACAGCTATATTCATTTGTATTAAGTTACTTATATGTCTATATTACTAATGCACACATAAGCAAAACAAATCCTGCAAAGAAGCATCCAAGTAAGAATTTCATTATGTTTGTTGTTCTGTTCATGAGACAATAATGCTTTGAGGAGTCTCTTCTTCCATCTAATTAAGGTTCAGTATTTACCAGTTCACAGCATTTATGTACCCATCCTCCTCCTCCTCCTCCTCCTCCTCATCTGAAGTTATTGTTTCCTCTCCCAGCAGTCTAGATAGTCTATATAATGCATTTCATTTAGTGATTATAATCGTAACTTTTGCCATTGTTTTGTATTGTAAGGCATATTGAAAATATAAAGTTGAAACCCTGATTATTTTATTTTGTTCACTAGTTCACTAGCCACCTTTAAGTATAATTAGTGCTTCTGAGAGATTCTCCTGTTAAAAGTTGTAGGCTTGAACTTAAAATTTCACAATAACATTTCTGGCCTAAATATTAAACTATATGAAGACATAAGTTATATAACCCATTCTCATCTCACTGACAGTTATCTCTCTTAACTGACATACAAATCTTCAGCAGAACTAAGTGTTGTACAGCTCTATGCGTGATTGCTTTTCCTGCTGTGATCCATTATTCCACTCTGTACTCCACTATACTCCCTGATCCTCACCACTGCTGAGACTTTCCCCGGCAAGTGTACAGATTATGTAATGAATGAATAAATTATCTTTATTAGACAGTAATCACTAATTATGCAGATGAATTAGACAATCTTTTTGCCATTGAAATGACTTGGAAAAAGTTTCCCAATCAACCTGAATTCACCCTACAAATATTATTTAATATACTTATTAATTTATTGGATCGTTTCTTAGACCAGGAGGAGGCCGGGAGTCAGTAGTTTAATTTGTTTAAAAAGAAATGATTAACATAGCGACTTGATGTAAGATATTTCCTCATTAATTGTAATAAATTGTTCAACAAATTAAATTGCTCATTCACACTCAGCCATTCTTTTTCCACCTTCGATGTGAGGTGTATGTTGTATTTTTTTATTGTATGTTATGCATATTATGTGAATATGTCTTCTCTGATAACGAGGTTTGTGTTTCAGTGTGTTTGGGAAATAAATGGGGTCGCGCGCAGATCTGTGGGGTGTCTCGGGCGCGCGTGCACGGCAGCATCATCACGCGCAGCATCTTTCGCCCACAGACATCTCTGCGTTTCACTTAATTTTTACTTCTCAGACAAAAAGAGCGTCTACTACTGCGTCATATCTTTATATTCTGCTCTTCTGGATAACCGTGAGGATATTTGCGCCGCGGGATTGAAGTGTTTTCATGGAAAATGGCGAGATGGGCTCACGCGTGTCTGCTGCTGATTATGGTGATTTTCAGCGGATCGTGGACCGCAGTGGACGCGCTCACATTCCCACAGCATTACACGTAAGAAACATTAACAATTCCACAGCATTACATGAAATAATAACTCATTCCTACACTAATACACGTAAACACGCTCATTTCCAAATCATTAGTGTAACAAACCCTCATTTCCAAAGCATTGCACGTAAGAATGTTAATTTCCACAACGTTACTGATAAGAAAAGCTAATTTCCACAACCTTATATGAAAGACATAGCCTACTCTTTTCCACAGCATTACACATAGGCTCATTCCACAACGTTTCATTTAAGATACTGATTTCCATAACATTGAAAAGCTAATTTCCACAGTCTAAGAAATACTAATTTCCACAACATTACAACAAATGGACATTTTCTCAGCGTTACACTTTAAAATGTTAATATGATGACATTATCTTTATGTTCATAGTTTAGGGTAAATGCGAGTTTTAATAAGTCATAGTTTGGGGACAAATGTATCCCCTAGAAGTGAGCTAAATATGACAAACACCTACTTTTGGTGACTATTCTAATCCTAAAATAATTTCTTGTAGGGTTAGTTTGAATCCATTCGAATTTTTCTTTTTTTATATAACAATCTATTATCTCGTTTAGATAGATGGAATCGTATATAAGGTCAGTAAGTTATGTGTCTTCTGGCAGACAGACAGCAGTGATTTGAGATTTATGAACTGGTTGGTTCAACAATCCTCAGAGCATCACAAAGTAATTACTGTCACAACTAATCTATCTATCTATCTATCTATCTATCTATCTATCTATCTATCTATCTATCTATCTATCTATCTATCTATCTATCTATCTATCTATCTATCTATCTATCTATCTATCTATCTATCTATCTATGCTCACAGTTCGTCTTCTGAGGTTTAAAGCTGATCTTTCTCTGTAATGTGAATATGGGTCACTCACAACAGCCCCTCATTTCCCTGTTTCTCTGTCCGTGTCTCTAGGGAGTGTGTGTCAGGTAATAGGCAGCGGGGAAGATCTAAGATGTGTTTGTGTGTGTGTGTGTTTCTGGGCATGCTCAGATCAGCTGCTGAGAGTGCATCAGATCGCCTGAATCACTGACACACACCCTGATACACTCTCACCTTTACATATTGTGTAACACATGATGCTAAACATGCAGTGAACCAGCACGTGTGTGTGTGTGTGTTTATAGCATCTTTAATGGAAAGTGCAGGCTGAGTTCCTCTAGATAGAATAATTAAATCTCATCTATGATAGCAAGGCCTATTCATTTTCCAACCTCACTTTAACAAAGAATTTATCCCTTTTTCAGTAAAGTCAACATTTCATCTATAACCTATAAGAATGCACTAGTATGCCAATAATTATGCAAATAATTTTGTAATCATTGATGCTGTTTAATAACTCTCATACCCAAACAAAGATGCCCCTCGCATTTCTATCAGACATGCAAAATTCCAGGCCTAGTTAGTGTTATTATGGCCAATAAGTAACCAATAAGCTGTCTGATATTATAAATACTATTTTAAGTGTTTTTACTATTTTAAGTTTTTCCAAAAATAAACAATAATAAACAATTGTTCACATTTACTGATATAATGTGCACCCCAAACTCCTCTTATCATCTCAATTAACACTGATTATTAAATGCTGGACCCTCAGAGATTTCTCTAAGCGTTCGCTCATTATGATCTCCTCGTGTTTATTGACAGTTCCAATTTAATAATGTTCGAGCTATGAATGCTAATCTAAACAACCTGAACTTACGTAATATAACATAACTGCAGTCGGGTTGTAATCACTTGCAGATCTGTTCTGTTGTCGTGGAAACAGGTGATATTTATGATCAGACTGCAGGGTTATGATTTAACCGTACATGCTGTTCTGTAACAGGGCGGTTTAATGAAGCTGAACGAGACCTCGCAGGTGTTCAATAATTCATCTGCATCTGTAGATCAGGGCAGTTTCGTTGAGCTGCACGGTTTGTTTGTAGCCTGTGTGTTTGTGGACAGAATAAACATCACATTCTGTACATTGATTATATTGATCGGTTTAGCCGACTGTGAGGATATTATATCATATTCTGTCACTGATACTGTGTGTAGTACGAACGAGGACAGTTCTGATGAGGTCACTGAAAATGAATTGTTTAACTTAGTGATTTTAGCAGTTTACACAAAAGATGTGAAATTATACTGTAAAAACTGTTCATTCAAGTATTGGAGAGAAAGACGACATGTTAATGTTTTCAGATTATCATCATCATAATGTTGATAATGTACCATGTACTGCAGGGCTGCAGTACAGAGTTTCGATTCATGAGCTTGCGATTCGATTCGATTCTGATCTTGTTTCAATATTGATTCATTTGGTTAAAATTCAGGTACAGAAGGGCCTAAATATTAATTCTCAAAGAAACAAATCCCTCTCAACTAATACAAGGAAACCTGTCAGCTGCTCGTATTATTAAATAATTAAAATGAACAACTCATTCTTATCAAATTAAAAAGTGTTATTTATAAAAAATTTAGAATATTTTTAATGAAATAATAAGAGTACAAATATAGTAAATATGTAATATAAGCTAGTACATATATTTAGCAAAATGCTCCTCTCTAGAGTTACTTTTTCTAGCTATATAGTCATTGAATGACTTTATGTGACATATTTTTTACAAGCTGTTTTATTGATGCCTTTCCGCAGTTGAAACATTCATTGAACGATTGCATGAGACATTTTAGTGAGCTGTACTGTATCTTTCAACCCCTTCTGATGTTCATTCATGTTTATTTGGTGCTATAACTAATAAGAACGAGGAACACAGATCGGTTCACGAGCCACATTAAAGAGGGCCAAAACGGTATTTATTGTTTGATATTTTCTAATAAAATTGACAGAATTTAAAAGCCCTGATGTAAAGTCAGCCATTTAATATCGCGGAGCGCTCATATTGTATCATCCTGAAGAGATTTATTAGACTGTACCACACTGTGACCCAAATATTGATTTAAGGTGTAAGTTTATAATCTTACCTAGATATTAGCTTCTGCTAGATGACAAACCCATTATTACAATCTTCCCAGTCCTATGAGCCGGTCATTTTCACGACACTCTATAAACTGAGACACAAGATGGCACCAATTGTGCTCCCGCTCAAAATAGAGGTCTGGGCTGCGATTGTTAATATAATTTTTATTGTTTTGCCTTAATGATTTACTTGAAATTCAGAACTTCACAATTTTCAAAACTTGTTGCTCCCTTAATTCACAGCGCGAATTGCTGAGCGACATAGACAAGTCCATTTCTTTGAATTTCCAGTAAAAATAACATTAAAAAATCATGATATATTTCAGCTACAGTGATATAAATCTCTGAAGCCTGTCATAAAACCTACAGCAAACCTTCTTTCCCCCCCCCGTTGAGTAACGGTTGTGTTGTGTGTGTTGTGTAGGATCATGCACTGGGCTCGTCGCATTGAACAGGAGATTGACAGAGTCTTGCAGCACATCAGCGGCGCTCAACAACTGAAGGGGGTAAGGCTGTGTGTGTGTGTGTGTGTGTGTGTGTGTGTGTGTGTGTGTGTGTGTGTGTGTGGCTTTTCCAGTATCTCTGTCAAGCGTGTGCTCATCACTGTGGGTCTGGCCCACATGTCAAACACCCACAAACAATGAGGAACTGAGACACTCCTGCAAAATCCGTGCTGGAGAATATAATGATCCTGCCATTCCAGAACTGTATGGGATGATTTTAGTCTCATTATGATTAACATGTACAAGCACACTATCAATGAACTTGATGCATGTTGCAGACATGTTTTATCCATGCCTTTCAATTTGCGTGTGCAAAATTAAAAATTGAATGAATGTGTAGCAATTTGTACAAATAGAGACATTTTTGTGAATACAAATGTTTTCTTTTGTATTAGTATATCATAATTTGTGCATGCAATAAAGAAGATGTGCATGTGTGGATCAGGTGACACGCGTGCATTCATTGAGTTCTTTACTGAGTCGATCTCATTTGATTCATTTTGATTTTGAGACTTTCATTTCGCGGTTTTTAAGCATTTCACAACCCACACACAAACAACTACAAATGAATAGGCCTGGTGCTAATTATTAATGTGTGCACAGCTACCCATTTATTTGACAAATTCACAAATGTGCGTCGCTACATTTAAACTAATACAATACAACTTGTGTGTGCAAAATCCAGAATCACATGAATGTGCAGCATTTTGTACAAATAGAGACATAGTTGTTAATACAAAACCTCAATTTTGTATTAATCTAGGCCAGAATTTGTGCATCCAACAAGTAAGATGTGCATTTGTGGATGAGGTGACACGCATGCATTCATTGACTCGTTTCTGAGTCGATCCTATTTGATTCATTTGGATTTTGAGACTTTCATTTCGCGGGTTTCGCCTTGCACGATCCACACACAGCTGTCTGAGAAAAGCTGCTACCACTAGATGGCAGTATTCTGCTAAAACCGACAACGGCAGCGTAATCAAGCGTGATCCCCATTTAAAACGCTTAATGTGAGTGATATTGAAGCACCAAATTTAGTACACAATATAGGCCTACTACCTTATTAATAAAGAATACTTTATAGAGGCAATAAGATTATGATCAACACCCATAGAAAACCATTATAAAACGCTTCACGTGCAATAGCGCATTGCATGTTCAATAAGGTGTAGCCTATCGGCTACTGAGTTTAATATAACTGTGTTACTGCATTGACGTTAAGCTTTTTCGTAATAATAGGCTCTATGTGTTTTCCTTCCTGAGCCTGTTAAAAAGAAAAAGCTTAACATGAAATTCTGCAGTTGCGTTTAACTTTGCATGTGTAGGGGAGAGCAATTGCTCCGAGAGCGCAGTAAAGTAAGTTTTAGGTTTGATATTCGCCGCATTTTCTAAAGGGACCATCTGCAAATTCCACTCACAGTCAAACAAAAATATATAAACGTCCAGTCATTAATTCAAATGAACGATACCAAGGTTATAGTAAATGCCTAGTGGACAGACGGACTTAGCCTACTGTATGTCCAGCCAATATCTCGATTGAACTGTAACAAAAAAATAATTACTGTAAATTGTTTTTCTATTCATGTTCCAAAGGTTGTAGTACATTCCTAGTGATAGTCAGGTGAGATTTTGCATTATTGACCTGTAGTACCAAAAACCCTTTTGGTGAATTACAGTATTTTTTTTATTTTTTTATAAAAAAGTAATTGTTTACTGTAAATAGGCTACATGAAGGGATATATTGGGACAATTTCACCTGTAGTAAGCCAGTCTAGTCACTAGGAACATTTTGAACATGAAAAAACGCTTTTGGTGAATTACATTATTTTTCTGCAGAATACAGGCTACATGAAGGGAAGTATTGTTCAAATTTTACTTGTAAGTCAGTCTTACAGGAACCTACGAGCTTTGGAATTTGAAAATGTCTGTTTTTAAATATTAAAAGTTATTTTAATTAAACAAATTATACGTTTTAACGCAGTTAGTGGAATTGGAGACGTTCCCTTGTGCATCATGAGCTGTGGTAGCGCGTCAAAACATTCTCATGTATGCAGCTACACACACACGTAGGTGATTTTCAATTCATATTTAATGTCGATATACATGGTTGCATATTGTTAAAACTCATCGTGCTATAGTAAGACTATATAACAGTGGCAAGGGTCAAGGGAAAACAAATGTCCTGCGAAAATCGTCTTGTAAAAACAGACATTTTCAAATTCCAAAGCTTGTATAGCCTACAATGTGTAGTCATAAAAAAATAAACCTATAATATGAACGCAACTGCGAAATTTCATATTAAGCTTTTTCTTTTTAACAGGCTCAGGATCGTGAAACGTTGCGCGTCACGTTCATATAGCCTCTTGTATGTAGGCTATAGTTTTCCTCACATAGAGCCTATTATTACGAAAAAGCTTAACGTCAATGCAGTAACACGGTGATATTAAACTCAGTAGCCGATAGGCTACACCTTATTGAACATGCAATGCGCTATTGCACGTGAAGCGTTTTATAATGGTTTTCTATGGGTGTTGAATTTGATCATAATCTTATTGCCTTTATAAAGTATTCTTTATTAATAAGGTAGTAGGCCTATATTGTGTACTAAATTTGGTGCTTCAATATCACTCACATTAAGCGTTTTAAATGGGGATCACGCTTGATTACGCTGCCGTTGTCGGTTTTAGCAGAATACTGCCATCTAGTGGTAGCAGCTTTTCTCAGACAGCTGTGTGTGGATCGTGCAAGGCGAAACCTGCGAAATGAAAGTCTCAAAATCCAAATGAATCAAATAGGATCGACTCAGAAACGAGTCAATGAATGCATGCGTGTCACCTCATCCACAAATGCACATCTTACTTGTTGGATGCACAAATTCTGGCCTAGATAAATACAAAATTGAGGTTTTGTATTACAACTATGTCTCTATTTGTACAAAATGCTGCACATTCATGTGATTCTGGATTGTGCACACACAAGTTGTATTGTATTAATTTAAATGTAGCGACGCACATTTGTGAATTTGTCAAATAAATGGGTAGCTGTGCACACATTAATAATTAGCACCAGGCCTATTCATTTGTAGTTGTTTGTGTGTGGGTTGTGAAATGCTTAAAAACCGCGAAATGAAAGTCTCAAAATCAAAATGAATCAAATGAGATCGACTCAGTAAAGAACTAAATGAATGCACGCGTGTCACCTGATCCACACATGCACATCTTCTTTATTGCATGCACAAATTATGATATACTAATACAAAAGAAAACATTTGTATTCACAAAAATGCCTCTATTTGTACAAATTGCTACACATTCATTCAATTTTTAATTTTCCACACGCAAATTGAAAGGCATGGATAAAACATTTCTGCAACATGCATCAAGTTCATTGATAGTGTGCTTGTACGTGTTAATCATAATGAGACTAAAATCATCCCATAGAACTGAGAGGCTGCAGCGTCTGAATGCATCCTCTCTCTCTGTGTGTGTGTGTGTGTGTGTGTGTGTGTCTGCTCACATCACTGAGAGAACAGATGGTTCACCCCTCTGATGCAGGGGCGGATCTACAGGGGGGCAAGGGGGGGCAGGTGCCCCCCCCACTCTAGAGCCTTGCCCCCCCAGCTGCCCCCCTAACTTTGATGATCCAAAAACTGTACTTGTAAAAACAACCTGCCACTATGTCCACAAGCTTCTCAAAACAGTGAGCTAAACAATACATTTACCAAAAGTGAACAATTTAATTTTTAATTTTAAATATATTATTAGCCCCTCCCCCCTGCGTCCCTGATTCAAACGTGCAGAGCGGACGGCGTTGTTGTTGGCGGCTCACACACTGTACACAGCGAGTCTGCTGCGGTGAGGTGGCCCTGCAACCCGACTGGAGCTAGAGTGAGCTTCCCCAGAGCCTCTGAAGGTGAAGTGAGTTTCCTCAGGTGTAGTTTAAACACACACGTTTAACTTAAAGTTACATTTGTAATGAATGTATTGTATACTAAAGACGATTCAGCATCAGCAAAAACAGCGCGTCTATTATGTTAGCCAAAATCAGCGGTCAATTCGCTCCCTCGTGATTTGTAAGAGCACTCTTCCCTTTGATTAGCCTAATTTTGATTTTAGTAAAGACAAGAACAGCTTAAGGTGAGACACAAAAACATCGGGGTTTTTTTCACTGGTTAATTTTAAGATTTTGGGCTATTTGTCTTCAATAACATGTCTTCTTTCAGACTTGTGGTGAAAAAAATTCCAAAAAAAAACACTTTTAGGACTTTATTTTACTACACTTTGTCTATTTGCGTCAGTAGATTTCTCCTAAATTCAACAAAAGTTGTCGTTCTAAATCAACATGCTGCTCCGCGATCGCTGCATGTCAATGTCATCACATACATCTCCGTTGGAAAGCTCTCTCTCCTGTACATTGTTGTCGTATCCAAATATGGTCATTTCCTTTTAATCAGCAACCAATCGTGAAAGTACAATGGGCATTTAACTCTAAAACCGAAATCTCATTGGCTGATGTCAATTTCTGACAACGTGATTCGTTCAGAGATGCATCACGTGACGTGCTCTGACATTTAGATATGCGTTTTTGACTGTTTTTCTGTTCAGTTGAAGGCCATAAATGCTGTGATTTAGGTGGTTTGTATTGTTGTTGCTAATGATTTGATAAGATATTGTGTCTGTAAATAGTTGTTTCCACTAAAAAAAAGTATGAATTTTTACATTACAAATCTTTAAATGCTGTTTTCTCAAAATTAGTTTTTTGTCAATCTCCAGTACAAACATCTCAGCCTGTGTAGCACCGACCTATGTACACCAAACTTTCCAGTTATTCATTTAGCAGTATTCTCTATTCTGAAGATATTTTCAGAGGGATTTGTTAATAAATCATTCCTAAAAACCTTTGTAGTGTGTAAGGGCATGATTAAACAATAATGTTAATCATTTAATAATGATTAAAAGTGTTTTTGTGTTTGTTTTGTTAAAGCAATTCACATATAGGGATTCCCATGTACCGTCTACCCCTGCCACCCTGCCAAGACCTCTTGCCACCCCTTTGCCCCCCCATGTAAAATTTTCTAGATCCGCCACTGCTCTGATGCTAAAGTCATTCATTTACCCAGAATGCCACAGGGCTGTAGACAGAACGCTTCACTGCTGATGATCAATACAGGCGTATGACAGCTCCTTTATAGTTGTATTTTTTTGTCCGGTCATCATCATCATATTATTAATTTTTGAGATAAACATGTTTCTAATGATGGCTAATGATCTTCTGAAAAACCTGTAGAGCTGAGATTTAAAAATAAAGCCGAAATACACTCCATGTAATCGCCATGTCTTTTGATCTATCCTGACCCTGAGCTAATGCTCTTGACCCTAACACTTGACCTCTGACCTCGACTTTCATCAGTCTGTGTGAGATGAGTGTTTGATTGTATCTCCATCCGTACACTGTCAGAGTTTGCGTTTATGCTTTTCTCAGAAATATTTATTTTTCAGCATCTTGCATTTTTTATATTTTTACCATTTTCAGCATGAAATATCACTCAAAATGCATTACATTTTTATGATGGGAATGCATTTCAGAGTAATCAGGACTAGCATCATAATTACTGTAAGTACCTATCATAAAACTGAAAGTAAAATAAAATGCATACATTTTCATGACTATAAAACTAAATAAAGTACAAATTAAGGATAAGTTGATTTTTTGATACACAGCATATAAAAGGTTCAACTTCTAAGTCGGCATGAAACTGAAGTTGCAATAGTTTTTTCTTCCCTATTCTGACATACCTGTATATCCGAGTGAAACGGCTTCTCGAAACGGTTGTGGTTTACTATTGGTCGATCTCATGTGAGTGACAGGTTGTCCCGCCCTCACGCTAGTAAACACATCATCAGAGAAGAGAATAGATGTCTTCAATTAGATTAAATATTACAAGGGCATGTGAATACGTATATATATATATAAACATAAAAGTAACATGCATAGATAAATCATCTATAATAAATACTGCAATATTCCATACAAAAATAAGAATTGTCTTAATTTTGATTTCATAGTGACTTTAAAACCCACCTTCATAAACATAAAAATGCTGAAATGTAAACATGTTTGATGATACCAGTTAGCACATGAACCCCTGGTTTCACAGACATGGCTTAAGTCTAGTTCCAGACCAAAATGCATATTTGAGTTGTTTTAACTGAAAGCAACTTGCTCTGACATATCTTAAAATATGTCAGTGCCATTGTTTTGTCTCAAGATGGACGTCAGTAATGTTTAAAAATCTAAAACAAATCTATGCCGTTTGTTAAACCAGGACTAACATTGTAAACATTGTTGACTAAAAACTAACCTGAATCTAGAAAACACTTAATTACTGTAAATAAAACTAACCTTGAAAAAGCTAAATGAATGAAAAGGACAAATTGAACTTAACATAAAAAAAACACATTTTAAAATTTTGTTTTTATTATTGCTAATTGCATTTGGCTTTAATTTGTGCTATTGTCATTTTTGCATATTTTAAAACCAGGAGCCAAAAAAACGCAAGCAGATAAACATGCTGAGTCTCATTTTATTTAGCAGGACTACAATGGATTGTGTAAAGTTAGGCTACGATGTTATTGATTTATCTTAATTTTTTCTTTGGAATAACAAGTTCATGGGCTTCATCCTGACTCACTGTCTTGTTTTAAATGCAGCGTCTGAAAGTTCAAGTTGTCAGTGTGTAAGTGAGCGTGTGCTTGATGTTCTTGTATTGATCTGAGCTCTAAACAGCTCTTGTTCTGGACTCAGAGGTTATTTACTGGCTTAATGAGGCTCGTCTTCTTCAGTCACGCCGCTGGATTACAGCAGCTGTTGTCTCACATCTCATGCTGGAGCGCAAACACTCATTTACACGTGGAGAAATCACTGTAAAATGAGTTTATTTTTAGTGCGTCACATCTGAAAGGAAGTTACACGGGTTTCCCAGTGATGAGCATTAATAATTTTAAACACAAACATGCAGCTCGCTCGCTGTTTCCTCCAGCTGATGAATATCCTCTTGATGGTGTATCTATACTGTATGTATATATATATATATATATATATATATATATATATATATATAGTTAAATCATGAAACTCTATAGGGCGCGGGCTCAGTGCCGACGCAACACTTCTGAGGGCCCTAAGCAAATCTTTAAGAAGGTTTCAAGAAGCCTCGAAATGACCTCCACCCCCATCTGTTCTTTCATAGCAGTTTCACTGTCAACAAACAACGTACAGTGATTTGAATTTCAATAAACATTAGTACACTTAGAGAAAATAAGTATATAAATATATAAAGGAAAACCCTTTAAAACACAATAAACTGCCAGTAAGAACAAGTAAAATCAACCTGTCAACCAAATGTTCATTGACAGATAAATGCTCTATGAAAGTAATGATCTGGCACCATGTAGCTATCAGAAAAACTAGGCTATAACACACAGCTGAAATGATTGTCCAAATGCGTGATTTACTAACGAAACTAAAGCATGATATATATATATATATAGTTTACCCAAGACAGCTTAAGTAAACACGACTCTGCTAAAGCTGAATATGCATTTATATTTGCATGTTATAAAAAATATGTTTACATATAGTATTATGCTACTTAAATAATCTTTGAGAACAAGGTGGCCCCCTAGTGGTTCAGGGGCCCTATGCACCTTGTGTAGTTTGTGTATAGGGAGGACCGGCACTGCCCGGGCTGATAGGTCCTTTACATGCAATCTGCAAGCAATCTCATCATTATCGCTTTGCACAAGCTGGTTGGCCTCTGTTGATTCTGCAGCCAATAAGATTGCTTGCTCAACATTTAAATAGCCTGGTTCATTGTTTGCTGTAAAGTAGTCCTGCGGCTCACTATTAGAGTTCCTCTGAACCCCTCCACCTCCCCCAACTCCACCTGCCTAAATCCGCTACATGATTTAGCCTTATGTATGTCTATATTTTCAGCTGCAGTAGCATATCTTACATGCTCACAGCATTACGTCTGTGTATCTATTAGCAGTAGCAAGTCAACAGCATATATTCAACACCAATACCAAGTACATAAACATTACCATATTCAATAACATATACATATGGATGTTAATTTTGTTTCAGATCTACAGTGAGAAGAGAAGACAGTTCAGTCTGGTCAGAAATAACCCTCGAGACATCGTAGAAAAAGTGGCGACTGACATTGAGAGACTGCTGGCCAAGAAACGCAAAGCGCTTGAGGTAATAAAACATCCACACAATCACACACACTTCCTTCAGGATTACTCTTGACGGTTCTCGTCTGTGTTTTGGGTCAGAAACTGGCGAGTGAAGCGGAGCGTCTTCAGAAAGATCATCACTGGCAAGATGGAATCAAGGTCAGATGGTTTTAACGGCGCCAATCGTTTTTATGCTCACTTTTGTGCATTCCACAATAATTTTGCAAGCTTTTTCCAGACTCTTCATGCACTTCGACATTTCACTTTTAAAATTGCTTTTGCATGTATGATCCAAGTGGATTCAGACCAATTATTCCTACGTTGCTTCAACTGATTCATTCAAATGAACCGCACAAATAGAGCGGATTCATTCTCTCTTTTTTACATTTCTTTCATCTGTGTACCTTGATGCACTTCGCCCTCTCATATTCACATACGTATTTCTCTGATCCAGATACGAGCTTTACACACACTCGCTGTGAGTCATGATTTCTGTGAGTCTGTAGCTGGAGGGTCTGTTTAAGCCCAATAGTTTGTGACGTCTCGTTTTACTGACTGATTTGATTTATTAGAGATGTTCATCTCGACTGACAACACACATGCTCATATGAGTGAATTGTGCTTAAATGAGCGTTTGTCATGCGGAGGACATCTGTATTTGGTTCTTCAAATACTCAAGCCGATTTTAAACAGCAGATTTTTGTATTTTTGTTCTGTGTGTTTATTTCAGGAGGAAAATATTGAATATTATAACTCTAAAGCAGAGATGGACTATGTAAGTACTGAGTACATCTCTATCCATCGCCGATGTGAAAAACATGTAAAAGTTTTTAATATGTAGATTTACATGCTTAAGAAAGTGGGCCTGTATGAAACATTTTGAACTATTTGAGAAAAAAGCACATGTAATGTTAATGAAAATGACGCTTTCTTGGTATGTATATAGGAAATATTCATGCATTCATACACAATTTCTTTTTAGAAGCTAGTTGCTCAAACTTCTAACTTCAAAACTACTATTTTGCATATTCATTTATCACCATATGACTATGATTTTGACAATCAAACTCAAGCTGAAACGATGGCCTCATATGTAATGTGTGTGTGTGAATGTATCTGATTATATTGTTTATTCTCATCAGGATGGTGAAGACATCGATTCTCAGATGTCGCTGAAACTGGAGTTCGTGTACGACCCGATCTTTAAGAACCATGTGAATTTCTCACACACCGCCGTCCAGATCCCTACAGACATCTACAAAGGCGGTGAGGAACCAGTCTGATGCTATTATATCTCTAAGAGCCAATAGCTATGTTTCCATCTAAAGTTGCGAATTTAACATATGCGCAAAATTTGGAATGTCGCATAAAACGTTTGCGAATAAAGCACCATTATCAAAATCACTTCCTGAGAAATTAGCGCAAAATATCTCTAATAGAAAATGAAAGTTCCTGCAATCAGAGGCTTCCCCAAAGCTCTTTTTTCGTACATCATAAATGGCTTGTGACTTTTTGAAATGTAATAAACGCTATCATGTTATCTTGCATTCTGAGACAGATGCCTGATGTTTGTGAATGTAATCGTGTGAGACGGTTGTGGGAAGTGATTATACCAAATCATTTTGAGGACAGACTTTTCAGAAAGAACGAACCAACATTTGAGATGCTGCGCAATTTGATTGGTCCGCTGGTTAGTCCAGTTATCCAATCACATCCTCTGTTGAGGCAAAGTCAATTGTCTGAGTGTTTTTGTTGCACATTGAGGGATTTATTCGGCAAACGTTTTTTTTCTAAAATAGATTATACACTTCTTATTTGGATAAAAAAAATATCCGCCAGAAAAAAAGATGAACACATTTTGCTGCACATTTTCTGAATTTATGCGTAACTTGGCGTTTTCATCCAGCATTTTTTATGCAATATACAACATCATGAACTCTTATTAGCAATGTTTCTATCCACCTATTTTTATGCAGAATTTTTATGCAAAAAATTGCAATTTATCTGTGTTGATTAATCGGCAAAATATCGGAAGTGGCACATTACACGGACAATAATCCAAACACTGCATTATTAGACCATTTTCTAAAGTTGAACAATATCTTAAAACCATTTAAAAATCATAATATAGCATTATGCTATTGTGAAATCACAATAGCTGCAATTGCATTAAATAAATATATGCGCTGCAGGTTTCAGAGTGAAGCGGGGCACTTTAATTATTTACATGCAGGTTACGTGTTTCTTTAAATGCTGCTTCGCATGAACTCAGTCTCCGCATGTGCTGTTTGTTTTGGTTTCCATTAACATGCATTTGGGAACACATATAAAGTTTGACGTGCTTTGTGTTTCATAGCAAAGTTTTGCACTGTTATAATTTACATGAGTGGAGTTTGAGTTTGAGTTGCTTATAACGTTTATCTGGAAACGCCAAAAGTGCGCCATTACACCAGATTTATAACGAAAATTGTTTATAAACCTATGCCAACACAGGAGAATACATCAATATCTTTCTTAATGTGCAAAGTTGTTCATCGCGATTTCAAAATAAAAGTCTGAACCCCCGCTCTGAGTTTGCATGTTTTTATGTCGACATGTTCTTGTTCAAGAAATTAGCTGTAGCATTTATATTTGGCCCAAATATTAAAGATTAAGTGGACATTTGAACTAACATGTTTGGCCAATAAGGATTTGATCCTGCTGTAAAGTGTAACAACAACAATCACCGTGCGTTGGCGCATTCTGCTGACATTGTTTATATTATGTATATTACATTATGTATTTTAAGTGTTGTTCAATAAAACTTGCTTTTTATACTTTATTTGAACCAATTATTATTGCCTTATTGTTATTATACATGTATTTTAAGTCATTTAAAGCCTGTTGTTCGCTGTTGTTGTTTTATTACGACAAAAAAATGATCAGTTTACTCGATTAATCACCAGAATAAACGTCTGATTACTCGATTGCCAAAATAATTGTTAGTGACTGACAGTCTTAGTTGTAATGTGTCTGTCTGTATGTCTGTAGCTCCAGTGATTCTGAATGAGTTGAACTGGACACAAGCTTTAGAGCGAGTCTTCATGGAGAACAGCAGAGACGACCCGTCGTTACTCTGGCAAGCGTTTGGGAGCGCCACGGGGGTCACGAGATATTACCCAGGTAACATGCTTATCTGTGCATTCATTTATGTGTCTGACTGAAGGTTTCAGTATGTTTTGCATAAATATATTATTACCCAAAAAATTCTTTTTAACATTTCACATTTTAGCTGCTCCCTGGAGAGCACCGGATAAGATCGACCTTTACGATGTACGACGGAGACCCTGGTAAACACTTTCTGTATCTTTAGAGTGTTTACAGTATATGCAGGAATCAGACAATAAGTTGCCTTGTGAAAAAAATAAGTGGTTAATTGTATTAAATGTGCACTTGTAGTGTACTTCAAATCTTAAAAGTATATTTAAATAACTGTATTTGCAAATAATATAATATTGATGAAATAAAAGGCCACTTAAATGTACTTAAAGAGAGTACAATTTTATGGCACTTAAATACACTTTCACAAAGTGCACTTTGTGATAATGTCAAAGTTTTACATGAAATTTTAAATCATTAATAATCTTTTGTCATGTATAAAGTACACTGATTTTTTGACTAACAAATTAGAGCACATGTAAAGTACTTGATTGTAATTTAACTGTAGTTATTTTTATTCTATAAACTTCATATATATAAATGTACTAAATTGCAAATTCATTATAAATATATTTAAATGCATGTCATTCAATAGAAATGACATCATGGCATATTTTAATTTACCATGCTTGTCAATACATTCAGCAAGACGATATAAGAATACTACTATATACATTTATTTCATTTAAGTGCAATTAGTATGCTATTGAGTGTCCGAAACATTACATTCAGTTTGCAATTAAAGTATATTATTTATGTAATAAGCACTCATTCACTTGATTGACCCTTCGCTAAGCTCCTTCCCCCTTGATTGTCTAGCCAGACTTTTCTTACAACACTTTGTTATATAGTTGAAGTGATGTTTTTGATGAAAAACTTGATTTTCCAGTAAAATGTGCTCATAAAATAGTAAATGTTGTATATATTATTCACATCTGCGGCTTTCTTCAAAGAAATAATTGAATTATGCATTTAAATTAGTGGTAATATTCATTTGGAGACATGACAGTCCCTCCAGAAAAACGCGATTATACGATCGCTGAATTCAATGCAAAATCAGCCAAAGTTATGGAAGTAAAATAATCCCAAATGTTTTTGAAACAAAAAGCCTGTTGAATTGTACTACTTGAAAAAAATATGCATTGCATTAACCCTGCTTGTATTTTAATGCATTGTATTTTTAGGGCTTGAATTTTATAGGCTGAAATTTAGCATGGTTGAATATTTAAGCTGTGAATATTTCAAATCAAATCATTTCAAACACATTTTCATTAGTAAAATTTCAATAATCCATATTCACCTTTCATATTTCATATCCCAAATATTCAAACTGATTAAAAATACAACCTATAATATTCAACAGGCGGTTTTCGGTCCATTTTATTTCGCTTTGCAAATTCGCTTCCACAAATTCAGTGGTTCAAATTCGACAGTAAATTTAACATTGACATCCAGGAGCTGCAGGAAAAGTAGTAGATTACCGAGCATAATCTCCATCTGCTGTTAGTCGACCACACCAGCAGGGGGTGTTATAATCCCATTCACTGTAGAAAAGGCTGAAAACATAAGGCTACACAGGGAAAGTAACAATGAATGAAACATAAAAACAGCTTTTGTGCCTTTATCATCTTTTCCGCATAATATATACTGATTACTGACCCAGATAATCGTCACAAAAAACATAATGCATGCTGAGTTTTTATGAATGAATGGCTTGCGCTAACTGTTGCTCTGGTCTTCGTCAACAACACGCGCTTGCACCCCCTGCTGGTGAGGTCGACTAACAGCAGATGGAGATTATGCTCGGTAATCTACTGCTTTTCCTGCAGCTCCTGGATGTCAACGTTGAATTTATGCTGCGTTCCAGGCAGGTTTTTGAGCACGTAAATCACGACTTCAAACCACGACTCACGACTTTGTAGCATTCCAGGCCAGTCACGACAAACTACCTGAGCGCAATATACATACTTATTTTTTCAGACACATAACATTGTATTACATAATCGTGTGTGTATATACATACTTATTGTTTCAGACACATAACATTGTAATACATAATCGTGTGTTTATTATTATCATTATTATTATATTATTATTAATTTGACTGCAACGTTATATTGTCCTAAAGTGTATTCTAACTGTGTACCGCCTGCAGAAACACTGCATCCGTAGGGGCTGCCAATGTTGTTTTGTATGGTTTTGCGGGCTACGTGACGTCAGAACTCGTAACTGGGAGTACATCGATCTAGTACGAGTTCACGGGTGGGAAGTCACGGGTTTGACTGCCGTTCCAGTGCACTTTCACGGGTATAAGGTTGGAAAAACACGGGTTACAGGTTGCCTGGAACGCGGCATTACTGTCGAATTTGAACCACTGAATTTGTGGAAGCGAATTTGCAAAGCGAAATAAAATGGACCGAAAACCGCCTGTTGAATATTATAGGTTGTATTTTTAATCAGTTTGAATATTTGGGAAATGAAATATGAAAGGTGAATATGGATTATTGAAATTTTACTAATGAAAATGTGTTTGAAATGATTTGATTTGAAATATTCACAGCTTAAATATTCAACCATGCTAAATTTCAGCCTATAAAAATACAAGCCCTAAAAATACAATGCATTAAAATACAAGCAGGGTTAATGCAATGCATATTTTTTTCAAGTAGTACAATTCAACAGGCTTTTTGTTTCAAAAACATTTGGGATTATTTTACTTCCATACAAAGTCCGCATATTTATGCGGGGGTCGCATTTTTTCAAATACTCCGCAATTTCGCCGCATAAATTGCTGATTTCCGCGCAAAATATGCGGGGCTTGCATGATGTCATAATCCCCGCATTTTCGTCGCAAAAAAAGTCACATATATCTTAGCAGAAAGTTGGAAAATGTTGCGTTTGCTTCACACAAGAGCAGCCACTTCCCCCTGTTGCCATGGGAACGCTATGAAGTGACGTAATTACGCGACGTGAACATCATTGAAAAGCTGTAAAACAGGAGCACACTTTATTTTAAAATATTTCATTTATTCATTTTTACTGAAGTTGTAGCATATTCCTCTAGTAAAGCTACATAACTTGTTTGACTCAGCAATGTTTTGTAAGTTTGATGTGTTTATTAAGGTCTTGTAACGCGTTGTGTCGGGAAGAAAAATAGGGATAGCTCACAGCTGAAGTGATTGCAGAGGCCAGACAGACTCACGGAGGCGATTGGCATCTCACAACTCGCACTTTATTCGCAAATCGAACTCGTAACTGTCTGTCACACGTTCTACCGTCCACGTCGTTACTTAATAAACAAAATAAGATAAAAGAAGTAGCATCAAACAGAAATTACCCGCACAAATGGGGTGTTCGAGGCGCTTGGCACATATAATACTGCAGACAGTTAGACAGGGAGCGCGCAGCTCTTAAAGGGGCCACACCTTATTTCCACTCGTTACAGTCTGAAATAAAACAAGATGAGAAATTAAATATTTCCAGCACTTTCTGTGATGTAGTATGCTTGCTTATCATAGGAAGTAATAAGAAAGGACTCTTTACATTAAGGTAGTAGCCTGGTGAGAACAGGGTGTTGGGGGAATCACTTTTTTTTCCTCTTTTTCATCAAACCGCAGTTTTTGCAAGTTCCCGCAAATTTTGCAAGTTCCCGCAATTTCATCGCAAAAAATTGCATAAATATCCCGCATATTCCATCGCATTTTTAAAGAAAACAGGCCGCGTAATCAAGGATTTTTGCCCGCAACAATCACAAAAAAACTCAGCGTTTTTCTGGAAGGACTGACATGAAATCATATGTCAAACTGTCAAATAAAACTAAATCAGATTTGTTTGTAAATCCATAATCATCTAGACATAGAAACAGTTGGCTGGCTTTGATTGGTCAGTTTGTGGGCGTGGCCTATGGCATGTTGATACTCAAACTTGTGTCGCTGTTTTCCTCAGGTACATTCAAGGAGCGTCTTCGCCGAAAGACATGGTCATCCTCGTAGACGTGTGAGTAGGCGTTCTTTTTTTGCTGTGCGTTTGTGTTGTTTGTTCAACATTGACGTCTTTTCCGTCCACAGGAGCGGCAGCGTCAGTGGACTCACTCTCAAACTGATCAAAGCTTCAGTCACAGAGATGCTCGACACGCTCTCCGACGACGATTATGTCAATGTGGCTAGGGTCAGTGCGCTATTTTGAACATGATGTTTTTTGGATTGTGAAAGTAGCTTCTGGTCTCCCAGACTGGTTTTAGAAGGGGTTTTGGACACTTTTTAGCTGACCAGGTTTGTCTTAGCTGGTCAAGCTGGGAAACCTGCTAAAAGACCAGCTAAAACAAGCTGAACACCAGCTTGGCCAGCCTAGGAGATCTGCTTAAACTAGCTACTTCCAGCTCAAACCAGGCTGTTTTTTTTTAGCTGCGCACTGACACTTTTGTTAATCGACTGATAAAATGTTCTTGAAATTTTTGCAGATATAATAGAATACAAAAGCTGTTATGTAAAGCTACTAGGGGTGTAACGATATTTGAACCGAACCGAAAAACCGCGATACACCACCCACGATACGTATCGCGATACTCTCATGGCGAACCGAACACGCCCCGCCCCCTGCTGCCCCGCCCAGAATAATAAGCTCATTGCACCTCATGTGTTATGTGTACACAACGAATACAGGGTTGTTGCCTAACCACCATTAACCACATATAATCGCAATAAGCTCAGTGTTTTGTTACTTTTGATAATAAGCAAGGTGTAATCTTTCAAATTATGTCTATTTGATCACGAAATGCAAACAATAAATGCCGTTTTGGCGCTCTTAGATGTGGCGTGACAGATATCACTGTATGCATGCGGCAGCGCGGAGCGCGATCATCTCTTCCTCAGTTACAGAATAAACATGAATGGACACCCGAAGGTAAGTTGAAAGATACAGTATACTTACTGAAAGGCATCATAACTCGTGTAAACACTCAATCAGTGTTTCAACAGCGGAAATACGTCAATAAAACGCTTAGTTTTTCACATAGCTTTATATTTACCTCAGGCAAGTCATTCAGTGTCCACAGCTTGCTGGTTTGCTAACTCTTTCACTAAATAAATGCTATATATTAGCCTATATATTATATTTTACTTAACCTGTTTATGATGTTTGTTTAAAATAGTTGTCATGAAAATAACAGCAACTGTGTAAATTATTATATAACAATAACAAATTAGAGTAAAAACATGTTAATGCAAAAATTACCTTATGTGCAGTTTACATGTTTTCATACAATTTGTTATTTGAGTGTTGATTATTATTATATCATTTAGGCTAAAAGTCTAGGCTTGTTAAGCTTTAATGTTATAGTAATGTGCAAGTAAGGGCTGTAGTTTACAGCATTAGCAGATAATTTTGTTATCCTTCGAGAAACGTTTACTTGTAATTGAATTAATTTAAAGACAAGGACTCAATTTGTTCATTAAAGCACTGTTTAATAAAAAATAAAAGCAATTTTAGCTTTCTAAACCCCCCCACCCCACCGAAAAGAACCGAACCGAACCGAGACCTCAAAACCGTGGGACGAACCGAACCGTCAGGTTTGTGTATCGTTACACCCCTAAAAGCTACTAAGTTAGTCATGTGTTAAATATTCACTGTTTATTCTTTTTTATATATAATTCATGAACCTGTACATTTACTTGAGCTGTATTTCCTCTCTCGTTCTGTGGTAGTTCAACGAGAAGGCCGAGGCAGTGGTGCCCTGCTTTAGGCACCTGGTTCAGGCCAATGTACGCAACAAAAAGATCTTTAAAGAGGCCGTGCAGCAGATGCAGGCCAAAGGAACCACCGATTACAAATCCGGCTTTCACTTCGCCTTCAACCAGCTGCTCAACGTGAGTCTGAACACAATTTACATGCGAAGTTCATCGACAGCATTTGTGGCGGAATATATGGCTTAGGCCTATATAAATACTCAATGTGTCAACAGTACAACCAAAAGACGTGAACAATATGAGTGTTAACATGATTTTAGTGCAGAAAATCACTTACTCACCTTTGTTATATCCATTTCACAACTTCATTGCTATAATGCGATGCCATAAACCCTAATATGACTATAAAAAATAATGATTTACTCTCATATTGGCTTTAAAATCTGCTTACACCTTTTGACTTCCTGGGTCAGTTTTGGAATTTAAGTTTGTAAAAATTCACTCCACAAATTCTGCAGATTGAGCTGAACTAGTACAGGACCCAGAATATTTCTTTAACACACACCTGCATTTCGTGAGTTTTGGACCAATGAGATTTCACCGTGGGCGGAGCTACCCACCTCGACGCAATAGAAGAAACCAGACCTCGACCTAGATGTGATGATTTGTTGCTTGCTTTTTTGGTTCGGACACAGTGTTATAATCTCTCTCTCCGTTTCTCGTTCTCACACAGAAGACGAATGTTCCTCGAGCCAACTGCAATAAAATCATCATGTTATTTACTGACGGAGGGGAGGACCGAGCTCAGGACATCTTCGAGCAGTACAACTGGCCCAATAAGACGGTCTGATCATCACTTTCCTGACATGATATGATTTATATCTTCATTGTGTGTTGAGCGTCTTGTGTTTCTGCTCTGCTGTTGTCTTCTGGAAGTGTGTGTTCCTCATAATTAGCCCTTTCCTCCAGTGAAACAGCTTGTTTCCTGTCTAATTTGCCGGGGTAATTGTGGGATATGTGATGGCATCTGCAGGTCCGTGTGTTCACGTTCTCGGTGGGGCAGCACAATTATGATGTCACTCCGCTGCAGTGGATCGCATGTGCTAATAAGGGTGAGACACATGCTCAATTGGAGGAGACGCTGGTGGAGATTTTTCCTTGTAAAAATGCGACTTCTTCCTAAAAAAAACAAATGTCTGCCCTTACTATGATAATTTAAGTAGATTTATATGCTGATGCATGTTGAAATATACAGAAATGACATGTGACATCTCACTAAGTGTCTCTCTGTCTCCGCAGGATACTATTTTGAGATCCGCTCCATCTGTGCTATAAGGATTAACACCCAGGTGAGTTACACACATATTAATGTGTGCAAGTTTTTTCCTGTTATGGCTGGCAATATCAAATTAAGCAACATTGTAAATGATTTTATGATTTTAATGCGCCTTGGTTTATTTAGTTAAGGTTACTAAAGACGAGGTTGCTTTCACAATTATTCATTCCGTTGAAACTCGCAAATATGAGATACTTTAGTAGTGTAATTGAAAACTGATTAAAAATTCAGTAGCAAAATCAATGTTAGATCTGGTAAATCTGATTAGTTTCTGTGTTCATTTTTAATGAATTAATTCATAACTGATTTGTTACGAATCAATTCCGCCCACAATCTCGCAGCCCACAAGTACAGTATGTTATAAACAAAACACTTCGTATGATTCAAACTGATTCGCAATTTAGTTGGTACATTTGATTCGATTAATCGACTTGTGACTGATTTGTTTATATGACGTGCTTCACTCAAAAATATTTGTTGTCTCGCGAGTATATGGGAAACAAAACACTTTAATGGTATGATTCAAACTGATTCACAATTCAGTCAGTGAGTTGATTTATACATTTGATTTGTTTCAGTGAAAAAGTTTCATTTAGGGCTGTCAGTTAAACGCGTTATTAACGGCGTTAACGCAAACCCATTTTAACGGCGTTCATTTTTTTATCGCACGATTAACGGTCTTTTTGGCCTAGCAAACTTTGTAGTTTTTTTCACATGCTTTTGCAACAGGACGCGGCATGCGTGGCGCTGCGCTGCGCTATGAAACCCATTCATTTAAATGGCTTGCGCCGCGCGAGGACGTTTTGAAAGCGCAAGCGGATCTAACTAGACGGAAACAAAACAATAGGGACGACGCCGCACACACTTGTTTAGGCTTGCGAGCCGGCCAAATAGGTTAACGTTACGTTTTGAGTGGATGACGAGCGCGAGACGCCGAAATGGATGCCAATAAGATTCTGAATGGAAAGTTTACTTTTAAAAAGTTGCCAAATGGTTCCATTGACAAGACCAAAGTGATCTGTGTGTTTTTTCGTTGTGAACTGAGGTATCATCATCGCAGCAAGTCCAGTCTGAAATACCACTTGATGGCCAAGCACACACACACACACACACACAGCTGATGCGAATTCTCCGCCCCCTCGTCAATATCAGGACCTCGTCAGTATTTCTTTGACCCTTTTATTGATGGACAGTGTTATATTGTGTGAGAGATTATTTGCTCCAAGTGAGAATGTTAGTGTGAAATTGAACACAGTATTTTCAATGTTGTTTTCAATTAAAAAAAAACATTTGCACAAAGCAAGCCGATCCACTTTTCCATGTTGATAAGAGCATTAAAATTAGAAAAAAAGAATGGGACAAAAAGAAATCAAGAGACATTTAGAATAGATAAAAATGTGCGATTAATTGTGATTCATCGCGAGTTAACTACACCATTAATGCGATTAATTACGATTAAATATTTTAATCGTTTGACAGCACTAGTTTCATTTAATCAATTCTTAACTAATTTGTTAATTTGACGTGCTTAACTCAAATAATTCTGTGAATCAGTTCAAAGTGTCCATTTCAACAAATCGATTCGTTATTGATTTGTTTTACACGACATATGTGCTTCACTCAAAAATGTTGTCTTGCAACTCTCAAATCAGCGACTCTTTAATAGTGTGATTCAAATTGATTCAAAATTCAGTAGCAAACAACTTATTTCAGTTCATTTTTTAACTGATTTTATACAACATCTGTGCTTCTTTGTTTACCAATTTGCAAGTATGAGAGCAACAAGTTATTTTAATAGTGTTATTTGTTTTATGCAATTTGTGTGGGTCAAGTAAGTATTGGTATGTTTCGTTATAGTGGTGCATACAATTATTATTGTTCCTCTGAATGGAAAAAAATACATAACATTGAGATATTCAATATAGTCAAAAATATCAAGATGTATTGTTATTTTCATAATCTTAGAATTTTTATTTTATTTATTTGGCCAAATCACTCAGCCTTAACTTAAACACAAATAGTGGTATTTTCAGGAAGGTAAAATGCTTGAATGAATGTGTGTCACAGGAGTATCTGGACGTACTGGGCCGCCCCATGGTTCTGGCAGGTAGAAGTGCCAAGCAGGTGCAATGGACCAACGTCTATCAGGATGCTCTGGTGAGAGTCGCTTCCACCCTCCTGCTGTCTCTGAAACATATGGGCCGCTTTGGGTCCGTCGTACTGAAACATGAGTTTCTGTTTCGCTCACAGGGTTTGGGGCTGGTGGTGACGGGGACGATGCCGGTCTTCAACCTCACCATAGACGGAAACTCTCAGGTGACGCTCGATTACTGATGGATCATCATCACGCTGGACTCTGCTGTGTGCAGAGCATTGATGGCAGTGTTTGTGTGTTCAGAATCAGCTGCTGTTAGGGGTGATGGGGGTCGACGTTCATCTGGATGAGCTGAAGAGACTCACGCCACAGTACAAGGTGAAGTCTTCTACACGCACAACCTGCAATTGTTATCTAGAGCTACTTTTTCCTTCTAGTTTTGTTGGTGTAACCTCTTTAGGTCGATTTATTTATGTTTTTCTCTAAAAAGGTTAGGTGTTACCACATTAAAAAGTTAACATATTAACACTTTTATATTATATTATATTGTTATTTTATATGATGTTATTTTATATTATATAATATTATGTTGTTAATGTTTTTCTAAATGTGGTTGATGAGGTGTTTAAAAATGTGTGTGATGATAAAACATTCATATTTTATCATATTAATAATATATTAATATACACTGATGGTTAACTAAAATGGTTACGTTTTTTTTATATTTGTGAAAATACATATTTTAATAAAAATGTGTATTCATTTATTATATCACATTATAAACATTTTATAAACATTTTCATTTATATTTTATTGTAAACATAATGCATATTATTAATATATGTTTTTTAATCACTAATTGTGTTACTGATTAAATATATATTATATTACAGTATAGACATTTATTAGTTTATATTATATTATAAATATATTAATGTACATTATTCTTTTTTGTAAATGTGGTTAACAAGGTTTTTTTCAAATGTATGTTACTGATATAACAATATTTTATTATGTTACATTGTAAACGTAATTTTTATTATATTGTAAACATATTATTAGTGTGTTTTTCTAAATATGGTTAAGGAGGTTTTACACCTTCATGTTAAAGGTTAAAGCATGATAACAATTTTATCATGGCATTTAATTTGAGCAATTTTGTGTATGTCTCAGTTGCAATTGTTGATTTATATCATACAGTATATTGTAATAGTATTATTATTTATTGTATAAAAACTAGTCTTTAATCCCTCCACTATGAGAATCAGGAAACATCATCACAGACTGTTTTTCTCGTTCTCTGTGTGTAGCTGGGAGCAAACGGATACATCTTCGCCATCGACCCAAATGGATACGTGCTCATGCATCCGAACCTGCAGCCTCGAGTGAGACTCTGATCGTCTGTGTGCAAACCGAAAGGACTAAACAATCCCGCTCATTTGTCTTTTAATAATTTCATTTTCATGAACAAAATGCACCAACAGCCCATTTTTGTATTTTGTATTATTTTGGGGAATGCAATATGTTCTTGACGGGTTTCGTAAGATTCATCATGCTCATGATTGTGTGTTTGTCTCAGTGTTATTTCAGTATAATTGATATATTTTTATTTATATTTCCATTTTAATTTGAGTTATAGGTTTAGTAATTGTGTTGTGCATTTTTTGTCATTTTTTTGTGTTTTTTTAAATATATCCATATAGTTTATTTTTTATTTTTTATTTTAGTACTTAAAGTTAAACTAAATAAAAATAGATTTGTTGCCTTGGCAAGTAGCTGAAATAAAAAAATATATAAATTTCAGTTACCGTTTATTTTATTTCAAGTAACGAAAATGTTTTAGTTTTAGTTAGCGATAATAACCCTGGTTTGTGCTGATGTTTGTCTCATTGCAGGAAGAGGATTTGCCAGAGCCGGTGACACTGGACTTCCTGGACGCAGAAGTAGAAGACAGTAGTAAACAGGAGGTGCCGTCTTTACTGATCAACAGTTCTCATTATCCTCCAATGAACTCGCATCTTTCTCTGTTGTTCATAATAAATGAATCATTGTTTTCGGAGTGGGCGGCACCGGCACACTCACTTCATGAGTTAAATATGACATTTGGGCGAATCATTTGTCTGATAATGTATGTTAAATCAGCAGGAGCTCATGGATAACGTTCGAACGCCTGCTTTTGATCCTTTTCAGATTCGTCGGCAAATGATTGATGGGCGATCAGGAGAAATGACGATCAAAACTCTAATTAAATCAGTGGACGAGGCAAGTGTGTGCAATTAATGTGTCAGATGAAACTAGGACATGTGTGATATCTGGGACATGACTTTCTATATATGGCTCAAAATTACAGTTTCAAATTTCAGATATACATGTCTATGATGCCCTAAACGATGTCATTAATTAGCTGCATCCCAATTTGCATAATTGCGTTATGACCCAAATATGCAATAGAAGTATATAATTCACTACTAATGTTAAAGTACATTGAGCATTTTGTAAGAGTACTCCAGTTTTTACAGAAAATTACATCTTAAAACCTTTTCAATGCTTTTGCTTTCTCTCGCAAAAGTTTTGCATTCCCCCCGGATAAACTTTGCGTTCGCTCAAAAAACCTTTTTGTTCGCTCTCAAAAACTCGAAGGTTTTTCAACCGAACGCAAAGTTTCTCAGTGAAACGCAAACATTTTTAGAGCGAATGACAAGTTTCTCAAGAGTGCAAAACATGGATGCTTACTTCAAAAATCCATCGGAAATAGTGTGCACTACATTATTTAAGTGCACTAAATAAAAATTTTTAGTGCTCTTCTATTTGAGACACACATAAAATGGCTAGAGAGACGTTTAGTTTTGAAATCTTACAAGAATACCACAGATTGGAAGAGATCTGTGCACTTTTCTGCTACATCTTAGTGAACGCGCCATCAATACACCGTTAAAAACCTTGCGTAAAAATGTCTGAAATTGAAATGTTTTTCCTGCAGCGCTACATTGATGATGTCATACGCATTTACTCCTGGACACCAATTAACGACACTGATTACAGGTATGAGTCGATTGGGCTGTTCTGATCGTACAGTTTGACGTCAAACATTCTGAACTCATTGGTTGTTTCCATGTGTCGCCCCCTGCAGTCTGGGTCTGGTACTTCCTCCGTACAATGAGTATTACATCCAGGCTGATCTCAGCGATGTCATGCTACAGCTGCAGTGTGAGTGTTTCCTTTAATACGGATGCTGTCTTGTGTAAGATTAGTGATCCTGCTGTTTCATCCTCACTAATCTCTCCTGCCCTTCTCTCAGATTTACAGTCTCTGCTGCCGAACTCTTTTGAGTCCGCTGGTCATGTGTTTCTGGCCCCCAGGTTTGTGCACATAGATTTAATATGATACTTCCTCTGTTAAATATAATTGTGTATATGTATGTGAGCTTACAGACTCTCTCTATCTGTAGAGAATACTGCAAGCGTCTGCAGTTGGCTGAGAATAACACACAGTTCCTGGCGAACTTCCTGTCTCTGATGGTGGAGATTTCACCTGAATCTGAAGACTGTGAGTAAACCGGAGAACAACACCAGCACTGATTATGACTGATTTTTTCCTCTGATAATTAAAATATTACAGCATTCATTATTAAATATTACAGCTGTAATTAAATATTACAAAATTGATTAATAAATATTACAGCATCGATTACTAAATATACAGTTCTGATAAATATAATATTGATTACTAAATATGACAGCTCTAATTAAATATAGCAGCATTTATTACTAAATAAACAGCTCTAAATATTACTGTAATGATTATTAAGTATTACAGTGTTTATTATTAAATATACAGCTTTAATTATATATTACACTATTGATTACTAAATATTACAGTATTGATTACTAAATATTACAGCTCTAATTGAATATAACAGCATTTATTATAAAATATACAGCTTTAATGAAATATTACACTATAGATCAAAAAATATTACATCTCTAATTAAATATAGCAGCATTTATTACTGCATATACAGCTCTATTTACAGTAATAATTAAATATTACAGCGTTATTAAATATTTCAGTATTGATCACTACATTTTACAGTATTGATTACTAAATATTAGATAACTAAATATGCAGCTCTAATTAAATATTAAAGCATTGATTAATAAATATTACACTATTTATTAATAACAATTTCAGCATTCATTTCTAAATATTACAGCTCTAATTAAATAGTACAGTATCAATCACTAAATATTTCAGCAATTATTACTAAATATTGCAGATCTAATTATATAGTACACTATTAAATAATATTACAGCTCTTATTAAATATAATTATATTAATTAATACATGTTGATTTCTAAATATTACAGCTAATGGCTACATATTACAGCATTGAGTACTTAATAGTACAGCTAGTATTGATACTAAATATGACATTATTATATTACAGGACTCATAATTAAATAAAAGTAATATATTTGCAAAGATTCCAAGAACACAGGATAAGATGTTACTATCCTTTGTGCAAGCACTTCCAAGAGTTCATGAACAGTGAGTCTGATAAAATTTGGGAGCGCATCGTCAGTAGTGTACCTTTGGTTCCTAGGGTGTTTCGGCCTTTCACACTATACACCCTCCCCACAGGCGGCCAGCGACAGGGTGATCAATCCTACGCTTGCGTCCCATTCCCAATTAGTCATAGGAGTTGCCTTGTTGTTGATAGCCAACATCCCGTGGGACTATGCATGGCAGGGGCGTCCTCCTCCCTGAGTCAAGCATTGTTGACCGCATACCTCCTGGCCCTCTCACTTCGGGGCCCAGCTGGGGTCTTTCCTCTTCATCCAGAGCCACTGACTGCTACCTTCTGCCGCCTCCGATACAGCTCTGATTGCCGAACGCTGACTCTGGCCCTTAATTCCCAGGTCTTTAAGCAGTCTGGTCGTAGATGTTGCCACAAAACCTCTGCAGCCCACCTCCACTGGTCGGACTTCTGTGTTCCAACCATGATGCCGTGCTTCGGTAGCTAGATCGCCATAGCGCAGATGTTTTCGCTCATAAGCCTCACCTACCGAGTCCTCCCAGGGTACTGTGAGCTCAATAATGAAGACCTTCTTGAGTGAACTGGACCAGAGCACCATGTCAGGTCTTAGGGTGGTGGTTACGATCTCGGGAGGAAACACAAGTTGCCGACCAATGTCAGCCAGCATTTTCCAGTCGCGGGCCAAGCGCAGCTGGTCTCGCTCTGATGGTGTAGAGCTGCTCTTCGGAGGTTTTGCCCCTTCACGGACAAACGTCGTCCGTAAGGGGTGTGATGCTGCTGGGGGTGGTAGGGAGTTGGTGGCAGCTCGCTTGTCCTCCAGGGCGGACGCAAGGTTTTTTAGGACTTGGTTGTGACGCCAAGTATAGCGTCCTTGGGTGAGGCTTGTTTTACACCCTGTGAGAATATGCCTGAGGTTGGCTGGCATGGAACAGAGGGCACAGTCCGGATCTTCACCATACCATTGGTGAAGATTAACTGGTGTTGGAAGGACGTCATACGTTGCTCTGATGGAAAAGCTCAACCGCCTCGCTTCCATGGCCCACAGATCCTTCCAGCTAATCTTCCTCTTCTCCACACTGTCCCATCGAGTCCACTGTCCCTGTTTGGCAAGAGAGACTGCCTTGGCCCACCTTGCAGCCTCCTCCTGATGGCGTACCTCCTGCACTACCATCTGCCGCCGCTCTGTTGCAGTGGCCTTACTCCAAACAGCACGGCTAGTTAACCCAAGGCCTCCTCTCCCTTGCTGAACATGACCCACAATATCAGCATGTCTGAGGGCTGCAGTTGCCTCCTGGACTGCTTTTCCTGGCCTCCATTTACGCCCAGTTGCCAAGGTCGGTGCGTTGTTACTCACCACTGGGTCTCGAGATTCATTCAGTGTCATCTGGAGCCTGGTTTTTGCACACTTGAATTCCTCTGTTAGACTGGTGAGGGGCAGCTTGAGGACACCATCTCCATAGAGGCCTATGGAGGTAAGGCAGCTTGGAACTCCGAGCCACTTCTTTAAGTAGCCTGTGACTCCTCTTTCCATCTTCTCAACTATTGTGATTGGGACCTCATACACTACTAGGGGCCACAACACCCGGGGTAGGAGACCAAACTGCAGACACCAGGCCTTTAACTTTCCAGGTAGCTGGGTGTTGTCGATGGACTGTAGGCTACTACTGATGTCTTTGCGCAGCTGTTGCACCTGGTCTTTGTCCTTCAGGTTTGCATCATACCACCTTCCAAGGCTTTTTACTGGCTGCTCAGACACTGTTGGGATTTGGTCATCTCCGATGAAGAATTTCAGGTCAGACAGTACTCCCTTCACAATCGAGATGCTGCGTGATTTAGATGGTTTTATCTTCATACGAGCCCAGCTGATGTTCTCCTCGAGTTTTCTGAGCAGTCTCCTGGTGCATGGAACAGTGGTGGTCAGTGTTGTAATGTCATCCATGTAGGCTCTAAGTGGAGGGAGACGGACGCCAGAGTCGACTCGCTGTCCACCAGCAACCCATTTTGAGGATCTGATGATAACCTCCATTGCCATTATAAATGCTAACGGAGAAATTGTACATCCCGCCATTATACCTACATTCAGGCATTGCCATGAGGTGGTGAACTCTGAGGTGGTGAAACAGAACTGCAGATCCTGGAAGTACGCCTTCACCAGGGTTGTGATGGTGTCCGGTATGTGGAAAAATCTGAAGGCAGACCACAGGAGTTCATGGGGCACAGAACCAAATGCATTGGCGAGGTCGAGGAAAACTACATGGAGGTCCCTTTTCTCCACTTTGGCCATTTGGATCTGGTGCCAGATCATGCTGGAATGTTCCAAGCAGCCAGAGAACCCTGATATTCCTGCCTTCTGTACAGATGTATCGACGTACGCATTCCTTTGCAGGAACACGGCCATCCTCTGGGCAATGACCCTAAAGAAGATTTTACCCTCGGCATTCAGTAAGGAAATTGGGCGGAATTGGCTGATGTTCACTGCATTCTTCTCCTTAGGGATCAGGACCCCGCCTGCCCTACGCCACACTTTGGGTATTATCTTCTTCTGCCAAGCCGTTCTCATAAGCCTCCAGAGGAACCTCAGGACGTCTGGTGAGTTCTTATACACTTTGTACGGGACTCCATTTGGCCCCGGGGCTGATGCTGATCTTGCCCGTCGAACTATGTTTTCCACCTCTTTCCATGTCGGAGGGCTGGTCTCAATATGATGTTCCGGGGGTTCAATGGGTGGGATATCTGATGGGATAGCCAGATGTTCATGTCGCTTTGAGTCAAAGTTTGTTATTCTCAGGTGCTCCTCTAGGTCTTTCTTTGTTGTTTTTAGAGCTCCACTTTTTTCCTTCGTGAAGAGACTTTTAAGGAACTTGAAGGGATCTTTATAGAATCGAGTTCTAGTTTGCTCTTTCTTCCTTCTGCGTTTCCGTAGGTTCTCTGCTCTACGGAGGGATGCCAACCGGGTTTTAATGTCAGCCTGAAGCGCCTCTATGCCCGCCTTTTCCACCTCCGAGCCCTTCTTCCACTGTTTCTTAAGCTGTCTCCTTTCTTGAACGAGGCGCTTGAGTTCTTGTTGCCTCCTGGAAACTGGTGGGGTTGGAACCTTTCTCCCGCCTTTTGCCTCTTGCACTCCAAAACGTTCTACCCCGTACTCATAAATGATGTCCCCCATCCTTTCCAACTTCTTCTCCACTGTGCCTCGAAGTTTTCGGAGGATCAAGGTAAGGTCAGTATTCACTGTTTCCCACAACTTCTTGTCACTGGCGCCAGGCCACTTCACATACGATCTGTGCCCTGGCAGTCTCCTCTCGACTGCAGGTCTGGGAGGCTGGGTGAGTTCCACACCTGTTGTTGGTTCCACCTCAGTTGTTACTTCGGTGCTTGAGTTTACATCCTCCATGACAGTGGTACTGATGCACTGCAAGCTATGGTTTGCGTCCAGTTGCTGTGCTTCATTCGACTGATTTGATCGCTTTCGCAGAAAGTGATCAATGCGAGGCCTCTGTCTCTCTATACCCAAACACCCCTTCTTCCCCTGGTGGATCCTCAACCCATGATGTGATGTAACTTTCCTCCAACCACAGACACATACCTGCATCTGTTTGTGGCCCGCCGTTACAGCGGAACTTGTGAGAGTTGCTGTGGTGTTCTCTTGTGCTGTGCTCTTATTACTCGTAGTCATTTCCAGTCCTGTCGTTATCATGTTGTCAGTTAATGAGTCATCTTCCGCCCCCGCTCTCGCAGACTCTAGGGGTATTCTCGTATTTTGCCTTTCTGTAGCTAAAGCGGGTGTTTCCAACATACTGCGAAGCATGGGAAACTACAGAAATGGGAAGCTAACCCGTGACTGTCCCAGTGGGGTCTATTCCCTCCTGTCAGCCGTCTCTCCGTGCTGCCACAAGGACTTTCCCCTGTTGTCAGCTGATCTTTCTCAGTAGTCACTGGACAAGTCCAGATATTCAGATTCCAAGAACACAGGATAAGATGTTACTATCCTTTGTGCAAGCACTTCCAAGAGTTCATGAACAGTGAGTCTGATAAAATTTGGGAGCGCATCGTCAGTAGTGTACCTTTGGTTCCTAGGGTGTTTCGGCCTTTCACACTATACACCCTCCCCACAGGCGGCCAGCGACAGGGTGATCAATCCTACGCTTGCGTCCCATTCCCAATTAGTCATAGGAGTTGCCTTGTTGTTGATAGCCAACATCCCGTGGGACTATGCATGGCAGGGGCGTCCTCCTCCCTGAGTCAAGCATTGTTGACCGCATACCTCCTGGCCCTCTCACTTCGGGGCCCAGCTGGGGTCTTTCCTCTTCATCCAGAGCCACTGACTGCTACCTTCTGCCGCCTCCGATACAGCTCTGATTGCCGAACGCTGACTCTGGCCCTTAATTCCCAGGTCTTTAAGCAGTCTGGTCGTAGATGTTGCCACAAAACCTCTGCAGCCCACCTCCACTGGTCGGACTTCTGTGTTCCAACCATGATGCCGTGCTTCGGTAGCTAGATCGCCATAGCGCAGATGTTTTCGCTCATAAGCCTCACCTACCGAGTCCTCCCAGGGTACTGTGAGCTCAATAATGAAGACCTTCTTGAGTGAACTGGACCAGAGCACCATGTCAGGTCTTAGGGTGGTGGTTACGATCTCGGGAGGAAACACAAGTTGCCGACCAATGTCAGCCAGCATTTTCCAGTCGCGGGCCAAGCGCAGCTGGTCTCGCTCTGATGGTGTAGAGCTGCTCTTCGGTGGTTTTGCCCCTTCACGGACAAACGTCGTCCGTAAGGGGTGTGATGCTGCTGGGGGTGGTAGGGAGTTGGTGGCAGCTCGCTTGTCCTCCAGGGCGGACGCAAGGTTTTTTAGGACTTGGTTGTGACGCCAAGTATAGCGTCCTTGGGTGAGGCTTGTTTTACACCCTGTGAGAATATGCCTGAGGTTGGCTGGCATGGAACAGAGGGCACAGTCCTAATAACTAATAACTACAAAATCCTCACGAACTAAGACTAAATCATAATGCACAATTCAATATTTTCTCGCCATCTGAAATGTGAAGACTTTATTTATTAACTGTGAGAATCTCATAATTGCATGTTTTTAACCGTGGTCACAGGTGATCAGGGACTCATTCATAACCTGATCTTGGATTCTATGATCCTCTGGCAGCTCGCCACACGCGTTTGGCAGAACAAAGACCTCAACACGTAAGATCAGACCCGTCAGAGTCAGTTGAATTTTCAGTTGAACTTTCAGCTGTTCAATACAATCTGATTTCTGCAGGTACGGCTTCTTGGCGCTGTTCGCGTCCACCAATGGAGGCGTCACACGCGTTTACCCCAACATGTGAGTGACGACACTGCTGGTACTGTAATGACATTACAATTACTAGAGGCTTCGTTATAATATGTGTGTGTGTGTTTCAGGGCTGCTGAATCATGGGAAGAGGACCCCGAGCCTCTGAACTCAAACTTCTTCCGTCGCAGTCTGGACAACAAAGGCTACATCTTCAGAGCGCCAACACGAGACTGTGAGCCCAATAAATTACAAACACTAAGCAAAAAGTGGCAGACCAATAAATCAACCAATGGATAATAATGTTTTTTTTTTTTTTATAACAATAACTGTCTCTGCTGCAAAATGTACTGGTATCTACATTATATACATTTTTATAACAAAACTATATTTAAAAAATATATATATTTATTTTATAATATTTATAGAATTTTATTGAATCAATTAAAATAATATTAGTATAGTGTATTTTTATATTTCTAATTTTTGGAGTAAATGTTATTTTTTGTTCATTAAATTGCATTTAAATTTTAGCATCATTAAATCAGCTATTAGCCACCATGTTCTGTAGATATGAGGCCATATTGCTCAACCGCTAAATAAAATCACAATTATCAACTGTAAAACTGAACCCATTTAACTTTCATAATGTGACAATCGTTAGGATATTCAATGAGAAAATAAAAGTTGGGACTGGGAGGGTCTTGTCTTTTACAGATTGATTAGATGGTTCATACATTTCATACCGGTTTTAGAAGTTGCAAGTAATTACAAAAGATTATGAAGACATTTTTGTGCAATAAAACCGAACATTTGTTAAGACACTAAATCAAGTCCATTTTGATTTCCTGTTGAATTTATACATTAAGAATGGGTGATATTCATCCCTTTATGTAAAATTTTCACCGTTTGAATGACTGTGATGTTTGTGTCTAGCGATGGATGATCTGTTAATCTCAGAGAACGGCACTGTGGGGATTCTGGTCACCACCGCTGTGGAGGTCGTGATCGGAGGCAAAACCATGAGGCCTGCTGGTGTGTTTCTCAGAAAAAAACGATTTGACACAAAGCTGATAAATCATTACGGTGGAGGTTTAAAATCACATTGTACTCTGACAATCCTCATCGTGTGTTCCTGTTATTAGTGGTCGGCGTTAAGCTGGATTTTGAGGCCTGGGTCGACAAGTTCAAGATCCTCGCCAGCAACGTATCAGACAGCAGACAGTCCGCACATAAGGTCAGATTTCTTTGGAAAAGGGGAATTATGGAAGAAAAACATCACCCCTCTCACATTATGTTCATCTGTACTGGCATGAGTGTGGTGAGATGTTGTAACTTCATGTTTGTGTTGTGCAGTGTGGCCCGTCCAGATCCTGTGAGATGGACTGTGAAGTGAACAGCGATGTGAGAAAACCTGCACACTCAAACTCTACATGATAACAGATCTTCTTGGCTGTACACGTTTTGGTTGATCTGGTTTTGAATGTGTGTTTCAGGATCTGCTGTGTTACCTGATTGATGATGGCGGTTTCCTGGTTATGTCCAATCAGAGAGATCACTGGAAAAAGGTAGATGCTCCACAACACCAAAAATAATATTTATATAGTCACATGAAATCTATCTATATATAAAAATCTTATAAAAATGTTTAACACAATTATATTATATTATATTATATTATATTACATTATATTATATTATATTTAGGGCTGTCAATTTAATGTTAATTTAATTAATTCGGTTTGGAAAAAAATTATGCTTTAAAATTGGGATGGGATGGAGAGGCGAAATATATATATATTTAGAATATAATACATTTAGATTGTAGTATACTCAAATTAAATTCACATTTGTGTTAGCTACACATTAATCATGATTCATTATATGGCAGGCTTTGCTCAAACTTTTGCCATTGCGTTAGAACTGGTTACACTGTTGTCGCTTGCGAAAATCAAATGGCAGCGCTATGGGTGTAAACGTGCATATTAAGGGGCGGTAATATTATAATAAGATCCTTTTCCTACATCAGAATCTGATCGGCATATTTTTTGACATGCTTGCAGAGAAAGGCTTACCAAAACAAAGTTACTGGGTTGTCACTTTTCACGTTTTCTGGGTTGGTAGAGGCACCGGAGACCCGATTATAGCACTTAAACACAGAAAAAGTCAGATTTTCATGATATGTCCCCTTTAATATATTAATAAGCATGTCTTTATGTCCACGTCTGTCTCAGGTGGGGCTGTTCTTCGGCGAGGTTGACCCCTACCTGATGTTCGCCCTCTACAACAACTCAATCTACGCCCGCCATCAGACCTTCCAGTTTCAGTCGGCCTGTGAGCCGACGGCCAGCAGCCACACGGGAGCCGCACACAGAGGATTCTATGTGGTGAGAAACTCATTTGTTCATGTTCCATTGATTCATTTATGGTGCTGCAGTCCATTTGAATCTCATGTAGGGAAACTGATGAAATGCCGCAGTGTTTAGGTGTTAAAAGAATTTTTTTGTCATTAGCCCTCCATTGCTGATTTCCTCAGTCTGGCCTGGTGGACGTCAGCAGCAGCGTGGTGAGTACAACTGGAGAACGTTGATAAAACAGTCCCTGTCATTCAGTAGATATACATCAAATATAAGAAAGTGAAATTCTGTTTTGGTATATCCGTTCATGTCTTGATAACATTTCAGATACTCATGCGTTAATGTCGCTGGTCTCTTTCAGGTCTGTTCTCCAGCAGTCCCTGTATGGACTTATCTACAGCAGCTGGTTCACCACAGGTTTGTTTTTCTCAGATTTTGTCACATTGTAAAAAAAAAAAAAACATCTACAACAGGTCAGGCTGGTCTGTTGGCTTGTTTTATAGGGCACATTTTAGCTGTTTAGGCTGGTTGGAGAAGTTTTTCTCAGCAGGACCTTCTAAAGCCTCGTGCAAACCCGGACTATTATCGCTCGCGCTTATCGTCAGCCTTTTTCAACGTGTCTTTGTGTTCATACCCAAGCGATTTTCACTGGTGATACGCAGAGTGAATGTGCAAATTCACTCCCTGACAGTAGATGGCGCTTATTGAAAAACAGTACACAAGGTGGCGCTGTGCAACTTTACGCATCTGACACTCGCTTGTCACATAGAAGAAGAAGAGAGCCAGTATTTCCGTGCTTCCCAAAACCATTCACGCACTTTTTGCTAACTGGCAAACAGAACATGGATATTTCAAGCAGCAGCAGCAGCTCCAGCGATGAAGAAATTATTGTTCTATTGAATGAGGAAAGACGACGGAAAAGACGCCGATATTGTAACTTCAGCAGCTCTCATTGGTCGGACAGTTTTTAACGCGGCCGCCTGCCGTTTTGCGTGTTGGTGTGCATACTCACATTGGCGCCCTTAGTCACGAGGCGTTAAATGTCGTCGATAAGCACGAGCGATAATTGTCCTGGTGTGCACGAGGCTTAAAGCCGCATTCTATAATTCAACATCTGAAACGCTCATAGAAAGCAACAAGGTGTATCGTACAAATAGCATTAACATGTTTCTAAAGTAATGAAGCAATACTCCAAACACAATAAATACACAGCACACAGATTTTAAATAGACATTTGCTCTTGATACTTCATAGAATATATTTTTAAATGAGCTTTGATCATTCTTGGATTGCATTATACCCGTTTTCTAGCAGACGCCTGGGTTGAGGGTTCAGACACTAAAGGGAGCAGCAGCTGCGTGACGGTTCACAGTCAGTTCTACTTCACCAACACCACCAACTCCTTCAATGTGCTGCAGGACTGTGGGAACTGCTCCAGGTGTGTGTTTGTGTGCCAACAGTCCTATGTGCATTTGAACACACTTTTCTGAACACAAACATTCTTTCTGTCAGGTTGTTCCACGCCAAACGTATAGAAAACACGAACCTGTTGTTTGTGGTGGCTGAGACACTGCCCTGCAGCTCTTGCGAGATCGAGAAACTCCTGCCTGTCAGAACAAAGTGTATCCTTCCTTCCCATGATCCCCTGCTCACAGAGCAACACTAACAGATCTGCTTTTAACCTTCAAATACTCTGTTTTCTGCTTGATTGATGGATGGATGACAGACAGAGCTTGTGGCGTTTCCTTAATGTTTTCTTCTCCAGCTCAAGAAGAGAACCCGTGTGATGTGTTAAATTCTGCCCGCTATCGGAAAGGACCTGACAAATGCTTCGACTACAACTCAGAGGTGAATTGCTGTCTGTTGCTCTTATCAAACACTGTTTGTTTTGCTTCTTTAGTTGATATTTTGTAAAGATGAATTGTATAATGTAACTGCACCCTAGAAACCACATAGCAATACCCTGGCAACCACCCAGAACGCTCTAGCAACCACATAGCAACATCTTGCCAAGAACCCAGAACACCCTAGAAACTACATAGCAACCCAGAACATCCTAGCAACTACCAGGAAAACTTGAGCAACCACATAGCAACATCCTGGCAACCACACGGAACACCTTAACAACCTCACAGCAATGTCCTAGCGACTACCAGGAACACTTGAACAACCACATAGCAACATCCTGGCAACCACACAACACCATAAAAACCTCATAACATTGTCCTAGCAACTACCAAAAACACTCAAGCAACCACATAGCAACATCCTGGCAACCACCCAGAACAACCTAGCAACCTCATAACATTCTCCTAGCAACCACCAATAACTCTCAAGCAAACAAATAGCAACATCCTGGCAACCTCATGACATTGTCCTAGTAACCACCAAGAACAATTGAGCAACCACATAGCAGCAACCACCCAGAACACCTTAACAACCTCATAACATTCTCCTAGCAACCACCAAGAACACTCAAACAACCATATAGCAGCATCCTGGCAACCTCATAACATTGTCCTAGTAACCATCAAAAACAATTGAGCAACCACATAGCAGCATCTTGGCAACCACCCAGAACACCTTAACAACCTCATAACATTATCCTAGCAACCACCAAGAACACTCAAACAACCACATAGCAGCATCCTGGCAACCACCCAGAACTCCCTAGCACCCTTATAACATTCTCCTAACAACCACCAAGAATTCTCAAGCCACCACGTAGCAACATACTGGCAACCACCCAGAACACCCTAGCAACCTCATAACATTATCCTAGCAACCACCAAGAACAATTAAGCAACCACATAGCAACATCCTGGCAACCACCCAGAACACCTAAACAACCTCATAACATTCTTCTAGCAACAACCAAGAACACTAAAGCAACTGCCTAGCAACGAACTAGCAACCACCCACCCAGAACTCTCAAGTAATCACATAATAATGTCCTGTCAACTATCCAGAATACCAAAGAAACAATATAGCAACATCCTGGAAACCATTCATAACAACCTAGCAACCTTATAACAATGGGCTACCGACTGCCAAGGACATTCAAGCAACCACATAGCAATGCACTAAAACCACTTGGAACACTTTAAAACTGCATAGTAACACACTAGAAACTAGCAACAGCCTGACATTGTGATAGTGAGTTTGTGAATGTTAACCGAAATGTCTCGTTTCCCACAGGAGAACACATCTGAGTGTGGCAGCGCTCACTCTTTACACTGTCCCATGGGAGTTCTGCTCTGGATTCAGTTATTGTCGCTTTACCTCATTCTACGATCGTAATCTGAGTCCCACTGGCTTTGGTGTTCCCTGTCCCTCATCCGTACAACACTCCGGGTCCTCTCCTGACATCCTTCTGATTATCCAGCTCTCTTTCTCATCGTGAGGTGCATTCCAGCTGTGTGCCATTACAGCAGAGCATGATGGGAAAACATGTCTTAGTAACCCCTGACATTGTGCAGATCCAAAAAAACAACAAATGTCTTAAATCGTTCACCTTTATATTCGGAAAACGTACAAAAAAACAACAACAACCTTTCTGCTGCCGTGAAGTATTTTTGCTTGCCAAATCCAAAAACAGGAAAGGACCTGGTTTGTTTTCGAAAGACTGAAACACGACACAAGTTTTGACGGTTATTATCACAATCTCGCATTGAGTGTTTATTTGAGTCTTGCTTTGTTCTGGATTTAGTGCCAAACCCTGATGTATGTGGATGCTCAAACGCGGGGGACACGCAGCTTTCATTTAAATATTTTGTTCCAAGGCTTTCTTGCCAAAAGAGAATGCCGTATTATCGCAAACTGCTTTGTTTAGGAAAAAAGAAAAAGATTTTGATTTCGCTTCGTGTTTATTTACAGCTTAGTCGAATGTTTTAAGGGCATATATTGTGTATAAAACTGCTGCCTGGTTTGTTACCCAACAGTGCCTTGGCGCACTTGTCCGAATGGACCAATAATAGCACTGGACGTGGATTTGAGTGACCCTGAATGAATGCTGAAGAAAGTCACGGTATTGAATGTTAACTTGACTTTGGTTTACAGCATAAGGGTGAATGTCATGAAACCTGGCAAACATACGTTTTTCACCCTAAATCAAAACAAACCAAAAAATGCACAAAGAAAATGAAGCCTATTTTGAGGACCATTAAGATTTAAAAAATAATAAAGTGAATTTTCCTTACAACTCTCATTACCATAATGAAAAAAAAAACCAAACCTTTATTCTCATTACCGTAATGTGGAAAATTCAAATTTTAGCAAGTTATACTGCCTTAATTTGTGATTATTTAAATGTATTTTACTGTAATTCAGTAAAAATACATGAAAATAACGTAACGCAAAAAAATCAAGTGTTCCTACAAATATCCTTCATTGAAAAAAAACTTTCTCATTACTGTAATGTGGAAAAAATCCTAATTTTAGCAATTGTTATACTACCTTAATTTGTGATTATTTAAATATTTTTTTTTTACTGAAATTCAAATTGAAAATAATGTAACAATGCGAAATATCCACAGTGTTCATACAAATACCTTTCATTTTCTTCTTTTAATTTTTTTTCTGTTGAATTTGGGGGGATTTCTCGTGAGACTCGCCCGCGCACGTCCTTTAGCATTCAGTATGGGTTTTACTATACATGTTCTACTGATTCTGTCTTTAGAAAGGCACTCTTAAATTCTTTGATGTAAATATGGTTATTCCACACTGAGTTGATCTAGTGTGTTTTAATGAAATAGAATGCAAGCTGATGTCTCGCTGTCCTGCTGCATGCTGGGGGGAAAAATGATAACTGCTATTAAACTTAATAATGATTTCAGGACATTTACTGGAAAGACACTCGACCCTTACAGCCATTCGATGGACCAATTTTATGTTCTCATTGAGTTCACAGATGCTATCGAAGGGTCGATATGTATTTATTTTGATTTAGTTTAAAAGATACGTTATGTATATTGCTTGCGAAATGTATCGAGTGTGAATTTTGAGACGCTTTCGTGCTTTTATTGAGATGTTTCGGTTTTTATCGCAAATGTTTTGTTGCTTTTCATTGATTATCTATAACAAAGGTCGATCTAGACAAAAAAAAATTAGTTGGTGGTACTTCATCTTTTAATGTGGCCACACTTCCAAAACACCTGTACTTCCAAATGAATCAGACTGGGCCGAGATTCTGAAAGGGTTTCGCTTGACGTGTTTTGTATCGTAATGGCTTGAGCAATACTTTGAATTATGTCAACAACGCTGAAATGCAAGTGAGCGCTACTGAATTAGTGTAAGGAGAGCATGAAATCAGTATTGAGCCGCTTTCTTTGGATGACTTTGATTCAGGCTTGTCTTTGAATATCGGCTTAATGTTTGTATGTGAGCTATGAGTGTTCTAACAGAATTATTTAATGCCAATAAGAGTGTTTATACTATTGTCTTTATGTAAAATTCTCTCAGTGTTACATTGAATTTAATTATGTGAATAGGAATGTTTTAAGTATTTTTTTGTCCGTTTTTTATTTCGTTGTTCTGCAGATGTTTGTACACTTTGTGAAAGGGTTTTTCCTCCCTTTCTGCGGTCTTCCATATCACTTCATTTTGTACAGATGGCACAAATCTATCAAGAAAGGCTAACTTTGTATCATATTGTGTCATTCACTTCTGGGAGATGTTTATAAGAGAATTGGTGAGATAAAGACATTCATATTTTTCACGTCAACTTGGTATGGATTTTTATTTTTTACTCCAGAGTTATGTATTTGATAATGAAAGAGAACAGCAGGTTTTTATTACAGCAGTAAAACAATCGCAAGTAATCATATTTTATGATTACTTCCTGTGGTGTTATAGGCTTCAGGCTTTACTCAGCTGCTTCCTTGCCCTGTAAAGAATACTTTTTTTTAGTTATTAATATATTTATTTTCATATTTGTACTTATTTGTACATTAACATATTAGGTTTTTTATTTATTTAGATTTTAGATATTTCTATATTTAATTTATTTTAAAGTATTTAGTTTATGTTCTTTATATATTTTTTCTTACATTTTTATTTTTTTTAATTTATTCAGTAAAGTATTTGTCTCATATTAGAGGTAGGTGGCGCTCACACTTTTCAATCATTTATGAGCCCTTGTTAAGAAAGGTTTGGTTTACATGAATAACTCCTTGCTAAGTTCATTTGGTATTAGAATATGTGCTAACTATCTCCCTAACTGTTTGCTAAGTGCTTGACAACTAAAATGCTCTTCCCTCCAAAAGATTAGCTAAGTGTATATTTTCAGTTCTTTGACAGTTGTGGTTCACTTCAATATTTCAGTGATCTGGCGAATTCATTTTTATGTAAAAATGTGTAATGTTGTCTTTGAAGTTAAGCTGCCATTAAGTGATTTTATCCACTTCGCTAACTTATGCCATTTTGTTAACAACATGCAAACCAGAATGCTCAAAATGATTCACAAGCCGAAAGAGTTTCTGATTGGCTATGAACATTTTTTTCCCCTATAAAGCTTTGAAAGGAAAACACAGAATCATTACTCACAGCTTCCTCAGCCTGACGCTTGTAGGCCTTCACTTTCAGCTGGAGCTTGTCGATCAGATGTCTGGTCACGTTCTCCTTGTCTTGCTCTGTCTGTAAAGTGGAAATGGTATAAAACCCCATCCAGCACTGTAAATTGTTCAATCTTTGGATTACACTGCACAGATTGGAAGTACCTGGTAGGTGAGCTCCTTCACTCTTCAACTTCAGCCTCCAATTTACACACCTTAGTCCACTTTACTAATTGAATGGATATCGTGGTAACTGCGCTGGGTCATTTTACTTCGCTTTGTGTGAAGTTACCCTGGACTCCAGTTTCTGGAGCTGTTTCTTTCCACCCTTCATGGCTAGTTTCTCAGCTTCATTCAGACGGTGCTGTAAGTCTTTGACAGTCACTTCTAGGTTCTTCTTCATCCTCTGCAGATGGACACTGGTGTCCTGTTCCTTCTTCAGCTCCTCAGCCATCATAGCAGCCTTCAAATAAAGAGCCATACAAGATTAACTGAACTATAAGTCAACCTCTTTGAAGATCTGTTATATTGGAAGTAGAATAGAACAAGTTGTAAAATAGCTTCAACCAAACCAGCTTCAATATTCTTCTTGGCATTAATCAGACTAACGCAGAGTTCAGGCCCATGAGGAAGGTGATTTTATAAGCCACTGAGGAAAAATAATTATGTAAGCAGATATTGTTAGGCAAAGTAACTTACAGTACACTCACCACAATAATAGTGCAGAGTAACCTAAGATGTCAAGTTCCTTGAAAGAGGAAACTACAGTGATGGTCCAACTTTACTGCAGTGGTCTCAAACTGCAGAGTTTAGCTCCAACCAGCAGCAACTCACCTGCGTAGAAATTTCTAGTAATCCTAAAGACCTTGATTAGCTTCAGCGCTAAAGCCCAGAATATCAATAGCCGTCTGTTTTTATACCAAAAACAAACACACATTAGAGATGCATCTGTATTGTCATAAGGGTTGGTGGTGGTGATAAGCAGAGCTTATTTAGAGCTTATTTAGGTAAAGCTAAAGGCTATTGACAATAAGACTCATCAGACATTTCATGGGGTTTTTACACCAAAATACTGGAGATTTCTCACCAATCAGCTCTGACCTGTGTCCAGCCATGAGCTGGTAAAATATGGTAGCTCCTCTCAGTCTCAGCAGATAACTGGAATGTTACTCTTGGCTTTTCCAGCAGGTCTTTGGCATAGAAGATTGACGCAGTTAATGTCAGCCCCAACTAAAAAAAAACATATTTGTCTCAAACCAGCATGACTCACAAGTTTCAATATCAGCTGAAGCCAGTTTTCCAGTGGATCCAAAGTGAATCCTAATGAATTCAATTTACCCTAAGGAGAAGGAAATGATTCAGAACTTTTTTTGCAGAGGTTTAATGAAATGCAAAAGTGTATTTCATAGGACCTCATAGACTTACAAAACAATGCCTCGCAGTCTTCGCATTACCATAAGCCTCCAGCAGTGGATTGGCAGCAATGGTTTGATCCTCTAGCGAGCCCTGGTGGGGATAAAAAGTTTATTCATGTAGAATAGATCCTGACAGTATTTTCCTCAGCTCTTGAGCTCTTACTCAATATGGCTGGAATTTTGTGAGCACCGATTTCACGCATCAAATGTTTTACCTTGAACTTGAAGGAATATCCTGTCCCCTGAAATATTTTTAAAATTAACTATAGCCTATGTTTAACAGAATAAATATTTAATAATGTTTAATATTTATAGAATAAAACATGTTTAACTATAAATTCTTTTAAATCAAGGAAATGTGTTAGTGTGTGTTTACTAAAGTCGTACTGTTACCGTCTGAAACATCACGTCAGTGGTCACTTACGCCCAGGCTGTAGCATCGCGAGATGTGTGCAAGTAGCGCGAGAGGTGAGCGGGAGCAGGAAGTGCAGTGAAGATGGAGGGTGTCGGATTATGTGCTAACAACAAACAGAAACAAAATCAAATGTTACCGAACAAAATGCGAGGCGAGTTCACCAGAAACCAGAGGAAAGACTCTGAGGTAAGAGTCAAACGAAGCTGTTTAAATCCCTATGATTTGTATTTTTGCAGTTTAATGTTTGTTTTGACAGCAATGTTAGCATAAACAGCAGAAATTCCAAGAATAAAATGTATAAAGTGATTAAACAACGCTAATTAAATAAACAACAGTTAAAAATGAAAAGTGCATCATTAACCAAATATAAAAATGTAAGTATTCATGAACAATGGTTAGTAATTATCTCGTTAATAAAACAGTTATTTTTGAATATTCATTAAACCACTTTTATTATTCATTAATGCACAAACACGTTAATGAAAAACACAATGAAATGATTGCGTAATGTAATTAACATTGCCCATAAATGATTCTTTGTGAAGTCTATCTCTTCTCGTGTTGATTCTGACACTAACGTTATATAATCAGCTGATTGACTGATGAACGGTCTGATGATCGCTCTGTCTGATGATCGCTCTGTCTGCCCTTGTGAAAAAGTAGACTTTTGCATAACTTACTTTACATTTATTTCACACACTCATGACATTTTTTAATGTTTTTTGACACTTCAGTGCATGTTATTTGCAATTAGATTAAAATGTATTATCGTGTAAGAGTTTGTTTTATCATGCTTAATTAAGTACATCTTTATGTGCAATTTCGTAATTCTGTTGTCTTTGAAATATTAAAGTTAGGTGTACTGCTGAATGTTAACATTGCCCATAAATGATTCTTTGTGAAGTCTATCTCTTCTTGCCATTTCGCCTCGCATTTTGCAGCATTTATGGTATCATGTATATATATGTATATGCAAATACCATGTATATGTATGTATATGCATATACCATGTATATGTATGTATACATACATGTATATATTTTAGTATACTAAAATATACTTTAATGTAATTTCCATTGAAAGTTGCATGTCGTGAATTTAAATATATTAGAAATTACAAGTTTCTAATAATGAAGTTGCAATTTAGTGCATTTAAAATATATTAACTTTAAATGCAATATCAAATAACATTGTGTTAGTCAATACATCAAAATAAGTTTACTTGAAAGCACAACAAAAGACTATTAAAACAATTATTTAAAATGTCCTTAAAGTCAGAGGCGGACAGAGTACAGAGCTTTGTTACTTGAGTAAAAGTACAGATACCCCTTGCTAAATTTTACTCAAGTACAAGTAAAAGTACTACATTCAGATGTCTACTTAAGTAAAAGTACTAAAGTACTTGTTTTTAAAAGTACTTGAGTATCAAGAGTACAAGAGTAAATTTTCTAAATATTGCATTACTAATCTACTGCCACAGTGCTTACATTTATGCACAGAAACGTCCTACATGGAGTTATGAAAAATGTTAATGTTAATACCTTGGAGAATGTAAAAGGAATTGAAAGTAAAATCAAGTCATTTTCATCTTTTTACCATGTTGCTTTATTTAATTAAATTAAATTTATGGGGGGTCCCATCTTAAATGCGGGGACAACACACACACACACACACACACACACACACCACATGTAAGGGTGGCGCTGCCAATAAAGCACCTAAAAGCTGTCACAAAGAACCGGCAAAAGGAATGATTATGAATATGTAAAATATAGCAAGGAGATATTTTAATTGTTTATTAATAAACACTTGTTAATAAACAAGTGTTTTCTTTGTCAGTGTCGGCTAAGATGAAGTTGACGATGCTGACTCGCGATCTTCAGTAGTGAACGCGCCAGAGAGAAATGCACATTTCATACGGATTACATAAGCAGAGAGCAGTCTGTAGTCTGTTTTCTTTCGTTTTGAATTTTTCTGTTTAAAAGTAGACATGTCTGTGAGAGGCAAGTAGGCTACCTTATACACTGAGTTTCGGTTCATTTATGAGACGAGATCCAGTTCACGTGCCGGCGCCTCCGTTTCTTATCTATCGTCTGCTATTTACTTCTTATTTATTAAACCCAGGCAATTGGTTGATGAAACATTGATTAAAATTAAGATACAATTAATGCAAAACGAAATTCAGGTTAAAGAAAGGTTTTGTGTTTTCTGTTTGATGTCTCTGTGAAAGTTTTAAAGCATTTTGTATGCCGCTTTCAGAGCGCTCACGTCCTTAACGGAGAACACGTCCATAACATTGTTTTTTCCTCATAAATGCAAACCCGAAAAATAAAATAAAACAAAATTAATATTTTATGTACTGTGGAGACTGAGCGCCAACCCTTCTTCATTCGCTGGGTAGTAGCCTACTTTGGTTTGCGCAGTGTAATTCACATAATCAGTAAAAATATATTTTGCCTCCTAAAGTTTTTTTTTTAAGAAATCAGAAATCCCTCGTGGCTACGCCACTGCCACATTTGAACCTGACTGTGTTAAACACACCACATACTCAAGAACATCAAACCAAATGCTTGGCTTACATTAATGTGTAATATAAAATCTGACCATGGAGTTGACTTTGGCGGAAAGCTGGAAGTGATTGCTGATAGGCTGTCCCAATCAGTGGCGCCTGCACAATCCAATCACGTTTGAGAGGGAAACAACAAATTGAGGGTTTCCGAGATTTTTCTTTTTCTTTTTACTTTTTTTTTTTTTTTACTCGGGTACTCACGGTTATGGATAGAAATGTATTGGAGTAAAGAGTACAATATTTGCCTCTCAAATGTACTTGAGTAAAGTCATAAGTACTCCCCAAAAATGATACTCGAGTAAAGTACAGATCCCTCAAAATTGTACTTAAGTACTGTACTCAAGTAAATGTACTCCGTTACTGTCCGGCTCTGCTTAAAGTATTAGTGATGAAAGTGTACCTTAAGTTTACTTGCGTATTGTTTCATTAATATTATATTATCTGCAAGAAGTAAAACATTTTTAAATATACTTTTAAGATTTGAAATGCACTACAAGTGCATATTCCATAAAGTTATGTGCACTTCTTTTTCACAAGGATAACTCATTTCAAACAAGGCTGCATTTACATTGCAGGTCTTGATGCCCAATTCTGATTTGTTGACTATATCCGATTTGTTTGTTTATTTCGTTTTTTTTTTTTTTGACGACAAACAGACTTGCAACTTGCATAAAGTTGACCCATATAATATCCGATAATATCTGAATTTACACTATACACTTGGGAAAACAACCCAAGGTTCTGACCCGGAAAATATTAGGCCGAAAAGCGAGTTAAAAAAATGGTGCGATTTGCAATGGACGCAGATGAAATGATAATACAAGCTTTTGTTTTCCGCACCATCTTTAAAGGTCAGCAAAACATTTGGTCTCTTAAGTGGTTTGATCATTCGTCCTCCATTGCGCCATTGATAAGAGTCATGAGCACCTGAGTAGACATCATTCGCCACCGTAGCTTTTGGTTTTAATGACGTATGACATTGGACAGGATGGAATATCCGACATTGGTGACGTGGACAGGAATATCCGATCTGTCTGCTTACAGGGAAGACGCAAATGCACATATCCGATTTATAGGACTGAAACCAATCTGAGAATACCATGTGCTTTTTTCCTGCTTACACGTTTGTGGGTCATATCCAATCTGTGTCACATGGGAGGGAAAAAATTAGGAATTGGGTCACTTGATCCATGTAATGTGAATGTGGCCTGTTCTGTCTGTCCTTAAATGTTGTGACTGAATTGTCAGCTCCTATTGGACAGTTACACTGACTCCGTGTTTGTGTCTCAGGGTTTATCAGAAACTCCTGATTTGGAGTTTGAATATTCAGATGCAGATAAATGGACAATCGAACTGTCAGGTAAGAGTTCGTTCATTTGATTTTCTGCTCATTTCTTCTGTACTAATATTATATTAAACTTTCAGCCTTCATTAACCAAATGTGACTACAATGATGCATTTTCCTCTTTTAAACTGTTTGTAGAGTTGTACAGTTACACAGAGGGACCAGAGTTTCTACTCAACAGAAAGTGCTTCGAAGAAGATTTCCACACTCATAGTAAGTACTGATCTAATTATTTTTCACTCGATTGTTTCAAAGTTATACAAACTCGCATTTCATTATTGAAATTTTTATTTTTATTTGTGCATCTAAGATGCACATTTTTGGCTTTTGCAAGATGATGAGTAAGTCACAAAAGAGCAAATGTTCATGTGCTTTTGCAGTGCCCGAACAGAAATGGACCGAACTGGATTTGGTTCACCACAAAACTCATGCCATGCGTCTGCTGGACGGACTGGACGTGATCGGCCGAGAACGCAGATTAAAAGTTGCCAGAGCCATCTTGTACATGGCTCAAGGTAAACTATGCATTATATATGCATTGATTGGATTGGAAATACCCCTGAGTCTCGTGTTAATAAGCTCTGACTCGGATTGATGGTGTGTGTTTTTTTCAGGTACATTTGGTGAGTGTTCTTCAGAACTGGAGGTGCAGCACTGGATGAGGTATAACGTCTTCTTGCTGTTGGATGTGGGAGCGTTCACTGCGCTAATGGAGCTGCTCAACATGGAGATCGAGTGAGATGAACTGCACATGCAAACATTCATATTACACATGTGAAAACTAAAATAACTCTTGTTAAATGTCTCTCAGTAACAGTGCTGCGTGCAGCAGTGCGGTCAGGAAACCCGCCATCTCACTGGCCGACAGCACTGACCTCAGGTACAACACCACACGTTACATGCATTTAGTATACTTTGGCCATCCACGCACTTTCCATGTGATATTTACGAGAGGACGCAAAACCATGTCCCCTTAGGCGCTCTGTAAAAATGTGTGTTATGTGTTGGAATGTCTTTTTTGTTTTGCTCTGTGTGATCCCGCCCACTATAAATATACCCAATAGTATTTCGACACACCGGGTTGCCAGTTAGCAGAAACACACCCATTGAAGCCAACAAACAAACTGGGTCAGGGATCGCAGTTTCTACTTTCCCTAAATAGCCTCACCAATAAAAACATTGCAAATGCATTAACTGATCAACTTTGTGTAAGGAACATCAACTTTCCATTGTCAATCGCGCTCGTTCTTGTTGCGTGTCCTCAATCTGGCAACCTGCGTGAGTGTCGAGGCAGCATGGGGAGCAGATCTCTCCAATATTTTGGACTCCAGTACCCATTTTATCGGCTAGCTGTCAATATTACATACTGCACCTTTAAGACGTACTCACAGTCCTCCATAACCCTGTGCATGCTTGTGTTTTCAGGGTGTTGCTGAACATCATGTACCTGATAGTGGAGACCATCCAGCGTGAAGAACCCACAGACAGTCCAGAATGGAGAACCATTAGAGAAACCTTCAAATCTGAGCTTGGTCAGTGTTCGTTAGACTAAGATTATCTGAAAAATGACTGTTTATTTGAAGATGCGTGTTGAGTATGGAAGAGTAGAAATGTTATGAATGTCCCTGTAACGCCTCCTGGCAGGTTCTCCTCTCTATAACCATGAGCCTGTCTCCGTCATGCTGTTTGGGATGGTGACCAAGTTCTGCAGTGGCCACGCGCCCCATTTCCCCATGAAGAAAGTCCTGCTGCTGCTCTGGAAGACCATCCTGGTGAGAAGGACGGACTTCATAACTTTAATTTTGGGTTAAGACAGATTCTTGTGTTTGTTAAAGCTGGGAATTGATTCCAAAAAGAATTTCAAGTCATGAATCGTTTCGAAAGGATCAATTCCCTCCTAAAGAGGAACAGAAAGGGAATCTGTTCCTCTTTAACAGCCTTTTTTCAGTTCAATAAAGCTAATTATTAATTTGCCTTTCGGTCACTCGCTAATAGTGATGCAAAGTCTGATTCATTTCCGCAAACCACTACTTTTGGATGGTTGAATCTGTTCAAAAACTATTGCAGCCGTTGACATTAAGAGATAATAGATCCTGATAATAAAAGGCCTACATTTTAAAGTATTCTTTGAGCATTTTGGAACTTAACAGCCCTAGTGTTTATGGTCTGTGTGTTTCCCGTCGCATCCCAGTTCACTCTGGGAGGGTTCGAGCAGACTAATGACTCATTAACATAACCCAACCCTTTCTGCACACATCAATACCAGCTTTGAACTGAAAAAGTGGGATTATGAAATAAATAGTTGTGATATTTCTGATTGAATTAGGCGAGACCAATATTCAGTTTGACCAATTTAAATTGTGTCTGTTTGGTACATTTAACAAAAAAAAATGAACATTATACTTTTACTACACTTTTAGTTTTTTGTAGTGCTGTCAAACGATTAAAATATTTAATCGCGATTAATCGCATTAATGTCATAGTTAACTCGCGATTAATCACAATTAATCGCACATTTTTATCTATTCTAAATGTCTCTTGATTTCTTTTTTTCCCATTCTTTTTTTTCTCATTTTAATGCTCTTTTCAACATGGAAAAGTGGATCGGCTTGCTTTGTGCAAATGTTTTTTTATTGAAAACAACATTGACAATACTGTGTTCAATTTCACACTAACATTCTCACTTGGAGCAAATAATCTCTCACACAATGTAACACTGTAAAGGGTGAAAGAAATACTGACGAGGTCCTGATATTGACGAGGGGGCGGAGAATTGGCATCAGCTGTGTGTGTGTGTGCTTGGCCATCAAGTGGTATTTCAGACTGGACGTGCTGCGATGATTATAGCTCAGTTCACAACGACAAAACACACAGATCACTTTGGTCTGGTCAATGATCTTATGTCAACATCTCTCTTAAAATCTCTTTAAAAAGTGAGGAATCGATTCTTGGAATTGACTCCAGAACCACTGACAATTCCAGAACATGGAATTGAAGTCAATTCCAAAGATTTTTTGAAACCTAACTGCCCTAGTGTTTGTGGTCTGTGTGTTTCCGGTCTCATCCCAGTTCACTCTGGGAGGGTTCGAGCAGCTGCAGGGCTGTAAGGTCAGTAGACGGGTGTCATTGGATCTCCCGCCGCTGCCGGAGGACAGTATCCGTGTGGTGCGGAGCATGAGAGCCGCGTCCCCGCCGGCGTCCGCCTCTGACCTCATCGAGCAACAACAGAGACGTGCCCGGAGAGAACACAAGGTCACTAACACATATATACAGTATTTGACGGAAACCTGTGGAGTGGAAAATAAAACGATAAAGTGAACCCTTTAAATCTGTTTCTTCAGGCTCTTATAAAGCAGGACAATCTGGATGCGTTTAACGAGAAGGACCCATATAAAGCCGATGACACCCGCGAAGACGAAGAGGAAAACGACGACAACGATAACTCTCTAGAGGCGGAGGCTTTCCCGCTGGAGCGCGACGAGGTCATGCCGCCGCCCATCCCGCACCCTCCCTCTGAGAGGGTCTGTTTTCCCAAGGGCCTGCCGTGGGCTCCGAAAGTCAGGTAGAAACTCGACTTCATCCGTTTGATATGGTTTATCTGATGGTTTTCTCAAATGTAAGTTGGTGTCTGTTCATTTTAACAGGGAAAAAGATATTGAGAACTTCCTGGACTCCAGCAGGAGTAAATTCATCGGTTACACACTGGGAAAGTGAGTCTGTTGTATGCCACTCAATTGCTCATTTCCTGTGAGCCTTAGTGATGCATGTTTGTGTTTGTGTTTGTGTTGCAGTGACACGGATACAGTGGTCGGATTGCCCAGACCGATACATGAAAGCATCAAAACTCTCAAACAGGTAATTAATATCATCCATGACTTAACTTAACTCCACCCTTTCTTCACGCATCAATACTAGCTTTGAACTGAAAAAGTGTGATTATGAAATTAATAGTTTTATTAATTCTGATTGAATTAGGCAAGACTAATATTCAGTTTGACCAATTTAAAATGTGTCTTTTTGTTACATTTTAACAATTTTTTTAAATTATTATACTTTTTTTTTTTTTTTTTTTTTTTTTACATGGTTTCAATGTTTCAGTTAAAATGGTTGTAAATGTCTTATGTCATTTGTGATTTTATTCAAATTTAAATTTTTAAAAAATAAATAAATTGATCATTGATTCCTTCAAACAATAGTAAAAGTATTAAATTAATAATAAAATATTTGCAACCCATATTTTTTTTACTGCAAGGTGTTCTTGTGATGACAAAAAAAAAATCAACATTTTGGTCGTAAAATCAAACGCAATGAAGAATTGTTTATTGTGAATATTATTATAAGTTGTAGTATTGTTGTTGTTGTTATCAGCATTAATACAATTATCAACTAAATTTAATTAATACAATATTTGTAACTGTTCGTAAGTTGTAAAAGAATTAATAAAGTGAACATTTGTATTGATCATAAATCAATTTACATTTTGTATTAGTTAAAATTGTAAGATTAACAAATAGTATTATTTGGTGGAAGAATTGTTTACTGTGATTTAATGATTATATTAATTATTATGTAACTTTATTGAACATCATTTTGTTACATTATGTCATCATTGTTGTTACTATTTTATAAAAACAGTAGCCTAAACCATTTCAACTATCTGTTGTTTGATTTTACACATCTTAACTGTAGTAAAAATCACTCTTGTGGCTAAATGCTCTGAGATGCATATGTAAATTCATTGTAACATTTAGTTTGTGTGTTTGTTTCAGCACAAGTATGTGTCAATCGCTGAGGTCCAGATCGCTAAAGAAGAGGAGTATCAGAAGACCCCTCTCTCTGGCGTAAGTGACCGTACACTGATAGAACTGCAAAATGCCATCTGATGATGAGTTTAATAACCCTCTGTGTGTGTTTGTGTATTCAGGGTGAGGAGGAGCTGGAGTTGTGTTCCACAGAGCTCTTGTACCAGGGTATTTTACCCAGTTTACCACAGTATATGGTGAGAGTCTGTTCAGTTCACACACCAGTCGCACTGAATTTGAGCCGTTCTCATACTGACAGACCTTGTTTGTGTGTGTTCAGATCGCTCTGCTCAAGATACTGTTGGCTGCTGCTCCCACATCCAAAGCCAAGACTGACTCCATCAACATCCTGGCGGACGTGCTGCCCGAGGAAATGCCGTAAGACACTGTTAAACGGCACAGTTGCAGATGTAGTTGTGCTTGGAATTCCGTGAATCAAACTGAATGATTCTTCACTGGAGCTTGTAAGCTTATGATGTGAATGAATCATACCACTGATGAACTGAATCAAAGTGATTCTACAAACTGTGTGTGTGTGTGTTTAAAGTTGAATAGCTCAACTTGGTTGACATGGCAACAGTGAGTTCATGGCATCAGATGCTGTAAAAAATAACTCCTGGGTAATAAATATTCATGACATTCACTCTGAAATTATTGTACCTAAAATAAGAGCTATTTTAGGATAATTTTAGATACTATTGTAGCATTTATTAATATATTAAATTCTCATATACGTAGATGTTCTTTTTACATTTAAATGTTTTAGTAATTTTGTTGTCGTTTTTTTTTTTTTTTTTTTTAGAGATGAGACTGATACAAAACATTTCCGCTGATACCGATTGCAGATTATTTAGAATGATATCTACTGATACCAATAGTTTGATTTTCTTAAGGTCACTATAATATTACTATAATGTTAGACGTTTGTCACTATTTTTTTTTTACTCTTAACACGTTTTTCCGCCTTTTGATTGACAGGATTTAATTGGCCCTAATCATTGGCTGTTAAACAGTTGGCCGATAGTAAATAATTGCTGTTATCAACCGATACGGATTATTGGCCGATACATCAATGCATCTCTAATATAGATGGCTTTTTGATTGGTATATTTATACATTTATATATATTTGATTGATATCTTTGATTTGATTGAAATATTGATATATTTTGATTGATATTGATATCTAGTTTTTGATTGGGAGTTTCACACGAGGGCAGAAACTAAAATGTCACTAAGCTGTATAATTGTATTTTTAACACTTTCCATAGACTTACTTACTTTACTAAAGGTGTTGTCACATTTACCGTTGCTCAGTGAATTTTCGTGGGTGAAATCTAGACATTCCAAAAGGAATCCATGTGATCCGAAAAGTTCCATTTCATCCGAATGTTTCAAGGTCACATGAATTCTATACGCAGAACAACAGAAAGCTGATGGTTCTTACAACTACGCTATTGACAATAGACGATGGACTTTTTTGCCGCAATTTCACTAATGTGATGATCGTACCTTACTTGTGCATGGTTTGACACGGCCTGTCTGGTATCTCTTTCTAGCACTACGGTTCTTCAGAGTATGAAGTTGGGCGTAGATGTGAATCGCCATAAAGAAATCATTGTCAAAGCCATTTCAGCCATACTGCTGCTGCTACTGAAACACTTCAAACTCAACCACGTCTATCAGGTACACAAACACATTGTACTTGAAGCTGTTCGTGACGAGCTTTTCTAGATGTTGGTTTTACCCTAACCATAACCTACATCCAACTCACACAAACCATTTGACATTATTATTTTATTATACAAAATGTGATTTGAGGTGTTTGTAAGCCTTTTAAATATTGAGGTCCGGCTCACTTTTTGTTAGCTTGCACCATAGTAAAGACGATATTTTTGACTAGTGACACCATTTTGGGCTTCATAATTATAGTAAAACAGCTGCAAGTAAAAAGAGAATGTTGACGCAAGTTTTCTCCTGCAGTTTGAATACATGGCGCAGCATCTGGTGTTTGCCAACTGCATCCCGCTGATCCTGAAGTTCTTCAACCAGAACATCATGTCCTACATCACCGCTAAAAACAGGTAAAACTTCAAGTCAACCTTTGTTCATTTCAGGCTCACAAAACATCTGTTCATGCGTCAAAATGACTTGGAGTATGAAGATTGCATTACTACTTTGCACTAGCTTTAAGAAGTTAATTTTTCATGATGCTTTATGGGTAATGATATCTGTCATATCATATCTCTTCGGCAGTATCTCGGCTCTGGATTTCCCGCACTGTGTCGTTCACGAGCTTCCAGAGCTCACCGCTGAGAGTCTGGTGAGAAAAACACACCTGAATGTGTCTAATGCTCCTCTGAGCTATTCTTTGATCAGTTTGATGTGTTTTGATTACAGGAAGCTGGTGATAATAATCAGTTCTGCTGGAGGAACTTGTTCTCCTGTATTAATCTGTTGCGCATCCTCAATAAACTCACCAAATGGAAGCACTCCAGGACCATGGTGAGACACCACACAAATCAAGCATGCAAACCACGAACATTTAATGTTGCTGGAGAGAGCCATCCATTAGTGGTCAATTCAAATTTTGTTTATTTCTAGATGTTGGTGGTGTTCAAATCAGCTCCCATCCTGAAGAGGGCGCTGAAGGTCAAGCAGGCCATGATGCAGCTCTATGTGCTCAAGCTGCTCAAAGTCCAGACGAAGTATCTGGGGCGGCAATGGAGGAAAAGCAACATGAAAACCATGTCAGCGATATATCAGAAAGTGCGCCATCGCCTCAACGACGACTGGGCCTATGGAAACGGTGAGTAGGGGGAAGAAACTGGACGGGGGTCTTCACTAAACAATTTGATGCGTCATCATTAAACCTGAAATTTTAGTAGCACTTGGGTGTCAGAATTAAACGTGCTCTCTGTTTCTCCGACAGCAGACCTGGACGCTCGCCCGTGGGATTTCCAAGCAGAAGAATGCGCCTTACGTGCCAACATTGAGCGGTTCAACAGCCGACGCTATGACAAGAACCAGAGCAACCCAGAATTCCTCCCGGTGGACAACTGCCTGCAAAGTGTGCTGGGACAGCGGATCGACCTTCCAGAAGACTTCCAAATGAACTATGACCTCTGGCTAGAGCGTGAGGTCTTTTCCAAACCCATTTCCTGGGAAGAGCTCCTGCAGTGAACCCCTGCAGTGTTTCAGCACCTCTTCCCTACAGCAATTGTGAAAATGACCATTACCAGAGTAAAACAACACTATGCTTCATAGAGTTCAACAACACGGACCATTTCCTGTGTGTCTGTTTGTGTAACATAACGGCTCGCCTGTAGTAAACTTGCGAATAATTGTTATTATTTTTACTCTTAGCTTTGACAGATGTGCTAAGAGTTAATTTTTCTGTTTGTTTTTGCTGCTTTTGATTATTGATTCTCTATAACTGAATATTAAATCTCATCTTATTGTGAAAGACTGTATTTATCCTAGAGTGTTTTGATGTGTTTTTCATTGGCTCTGTATACAATACTCAATGCAATACAACAATCTTCTCTGTGAACCATTGTTGTTTTTGTCAGTCATTTTTAAAAGTCAAAGTTAAGGAATATCTGCTCTCATTTTAAAGTTGGAAATAGGTTTGGAGGTAGATTGTTTGGAGGTTTGCCTGTGGATAATTTTGTACCTAAGCTGATTGTTTTATTTCTTTTTTCAATAGGGAGAAAGTCTAAAGAAGTGCTAACATTATTTCATATTGAAAACCATGCATTACCATCACTAGTGTTTTACCTTCAATGGAAGATCAATAGACCTTTTTCACATTTCAGAGAATCTCATAAGCGATAGTCGTCAGATGACAGCATTCAATGTATAACTACTCACTCCACGAACAGAAAAGGTCAAATCCATGAAAGATTTTTGATGACATTCTAAAAGGAGGAAAAAATATAGAGAAATAAACTATAGTCAGAAGAGAGAATTATGTTTTTTTTTTAAATCACAGTCACTGCCAGCCACTGAAATATCCTTGCGGCAGTTTTAATCAGATTTTTACTGCCAAGGTTTTTAATGATATATGTGGATCATTAATTATGAGCAAATGTTTGACTATTCCGTTTAACTCTTCAATGAAAATAATGTCAACGTCAGTTAGAATAATCAAATGTAACAATTTATTATGTCAGGTATATGTATAATGCCAATTTCATAATCGATTCAAAGATAATCAATACAAAACATCAAATACTCTGAAATAGAGAGCAGATGCAAACCCAACAGTAAGAAATACATGAGGCTGAGAGCTCTCACTCTCAGCCTCACGGGCCAATCTGAAATACAGAAAAGGGCCCCGAACTTCCTGCTGCATTTCATTAGACAAACCTTTCACATGGAAACATGTACTAACAAAAGAAATTTGCATTCAGAGGTTGCACCTTTTGGGGTTGTGTGACCATTTGCTTGAGAGACCACCTTCCTTTGTAAGTCAGTTATCCATAAACTCTTAAAAACCTTATTACCTTTTGTTTTACTTATTCTGAAATGAGACATTTGTACCAGTCGCACTGTGACATTTTAAATGATACCAAACATGAAAGATACTATGTGGTAATCATTCACATTAAACTATACATTTTCTTGGGTGATTTACATGTGGTTTCAGCATGTGAGAGGGGGAGTGAGGAAGAGGGGGAGAGATGTGTTCTGAGGTGAGACTTTGTCTCACAAATGGTGAGTTTAAATGCTTATTTCCAGAGAGGTCCTTTTGTTCTCTCAGGGTCTGGTCGCACTTCAAGCATTTCCTAATTTCTCAATTCTTACATGATTTTTTATGTGGTTCTTCTGGGGTAATGCAAAAAGTACTGTCTTAGTCCAGAATGACAATGTGAGTTCTTACATGTGTGGCATGTCTCTATTGTGTTTTTTCCTGTGAATATTAAGGTGTCGGTTTTGTCTGAAACCTTTCCCACACTGATCACACGTGTGTGGTTTCTCTCCAGTGTGGATCATCGTGTGTTCTTGCAGATTTTGTGAAAAACTGAATCTCTTATCACAATGTGAACACTTGTAAGGTTTTTCTCCAGTGTGAGTTCTCTGGTGCAGTTTCACTGCATGATCTGTAATAAAAGTCTTCCCACAATCAAAGCACACATGATTCTTCACACCACTGTGTATTTTCTGATGATATTTTAAAGCACTCGACTGACTAAAACTCTTTCCACACAAAGAACACACGTGAGGCTTCTCCTTTGTGTGAACTTTCAAGTGGTTCTTCAGGGAAAATGATGAAAAATATGTTTTTCCACACTGATCACAGTAAAATGGTCTTTCTCCAGAGTGAGAAAACAGATGTGATTTAAAATTGATGGCGTTTGTGAAACTCTTCCCACACTGATCACATGTGTACGGCTTCTCTCCAGTGTGGATTCTCATATGATACTCAAGGTTTCTTTTGTGTAAGTAACTCTTCCCGCACTGATCACATGTGTGTGGTTTCTCTCCAGTGTGGATTTTAATGTGATTATTAAGGTTCTCTTTTCGTGTGAAACTCTTCCCACACTGATCACATGTGTGCGGCTTCTCTCCAGTGAGGATTTTAATGTGATCATTAAGGTGCTGTTTTCGTGTGAAACTCTTCCCACACTGATCACATGTGTACAACTTCTCTCCAGTGTGGATCTTCATGTGAATTTGAAGACTTTTGTTGTTTTGGAATCTCTTTCCACAATGTAGGCAAGAATTGTTGGCTCTACTCAAAGATTTTTCGCCAGTTTTGACATGATGATGTTTCTCCTCTCCTTTGCTCAGTTTTTCAATCTCCTTGTTCTGTTCCATTAAGTCTGAAATAATAATAAAAAAGTTTGACATGTATATTGTTGTGGTTAAATTCTTTATGGTTATGGTGTTTGTGGTTAAAGAGTTTATTAATCAAACAAAGCCGAGTGCCCTTCTGCAGAACGACGCCTCCAGAAAAAGTGTCCAGCTAACATATATACACACTTCCTTGTACCAAATATGGTAATCCACAGGCCCGCCGACAGGGGGGGACAAACGGGTCTGTTGTCCCGGGCCCAGGGTAGGGTGGGGGGGGGGGTGGCAGAAATGGGCCCTCATTAACCCTTTATCGGGCGAGGAACCATATTTGGTAACTTAATCGCGCATTCAAACTGACTCTCCCCTGCCTGTTTGCGTTGTCGTATGAGCGCATATATTTCTCCTAGCCAATCAGCGAAGATCAGGCTACGTCACTGATAGTCACACCATGGCATCTGACCAATCAGAAGTTGCGCGGAGCATTTCAAACTTCAGTGTCGTTCCGGATATTGGAAAGTGAGGTTATGCGCTACTACCTACTCCCACATCAGCGCTAATAACTTCAAAACAAAAAATGGTAAGTTGATGAAACTCACACATTCTATGGTTGAATAGTTGTGCAACATGTTGAGATAGGTGTTGTTTGCATAGATTTCTTGAAAGTAGTGACATTTGTAGCATGAAAAATGGTGAGACCATATTTGATCATACGCCCTGTTCACGTAAGATTAGCGCAAGTGATAGGAAGACCATATTTAGACATACGCCCTATGCGTATAGAAAAGCCGTACTAGGTTATTTTTTCTACAAATAATGCATTATAACCAAAGTCTATGATTATAATGTAGGACAATAGTATATACTAGTGCATTGGATGTTATCACAGGTTTGAATTACATTTTAAAGTGATCCAGTGGGAAACGTAACACATTTATAGACATTTTCAAGCCATATTAGATATTGAAATATGTGTGGTTTTGGTCAGTTTTATGACCTTTATAACAGTTTTTAATACTTAAAATGATATTTTGCACTTCTTATTATATATTTACATATATTATGACAGACCAGTCCAATGTTACTCACTTATTTTTCTTATTATTTATATTTCAGTAGATCTGCACTTCACTGTTACTCAACAAATAACTCAAACTGGGCTTGATATTGACTCAAAAATGTACTCTCTGTTCTTTGCAGCTATCTACACAAATCTTTTACGGCAAGAGGGAGACAGTTGTGCCAGCCCACCCCAGCATCAGTGATGATGAGGGCTCTGAGGAGGAAGATGATGAACTGGCAGACCCTGACTTCCTCCCACCCACCCACAACCTAGACACTCCAGGCCAGAGTAATATAGGCCCCTCTGCCAAGAGGTGTAATTTAATTTAAAATGTTCCTAATAATAATTTAAAATGTTCCTAAATAAATATTTTTATGTTTGTAACAAGTTTATGTGTTTTTATTATATTTTTATATATACACTTTTTAAGGGGAAAAAAATTACCCTAGACTGGCGAGGAACCATATATGGTAACTTCATTGCCCTTGATTTCCAACCTAAAAATATATTATTTTTTTTTAACTCACAAACGTTTAGGAGTCTTATAATATCCTCCAATAACACTCTATGGTTGAAATTTAGAATTTACAAGTATTTCAATGAGTGCCCTATAAAGGGTTAAATTATGGAATAATTGTAAAAAAAATAATAAAAATAGGCATATTTGTGGAAAAAATATCTAATATTTGAGTTACATAAAAGCTTTTTATTTGTTTTCTTCCTAATTGTCCTTGAAATAGTGGTCAAGAAAAGAAAATGAAGACATTTATAGAAAATGTACCCATTTAAACGTGTTTTTATTATTCCGTTTGGGTAAAAGTATATGGTGTTTTATAAAAATAAATAAAAAATGGAAGTCTGCTTTAAAGTGGTTAGAAAAACGGAATCGGCTAAAATCAGAATTGGCCTAGAAAATTGTAATTGGTAGAGGAACTGGAGAGTAAGAGCAGAGGAGAGGAACAGGAGAGTAAGAGCAGAGGAGAGGAACAGGAGAGGAAGAGCAGAGGAGAGGAAGAGGAGAGGAACAGGAGAGGAAGAGCAAGGGAAAAGGAGAGATCTGGGCGTGGGGGGGCCCATCTAAGATTATCTTGTCCCGGGCCCAGGCAAGACTGTCAGCTGGCCTGGTAATCCATTCTATAGATTATTTTGAGAAATAGTTTGTACCATGTAACTTTACTAAAATAGCATTCTCTGTTGCATCTGCCTTCCTTTAAGCCCCCAAAAGTCAGACCAAAGTCCCTCACAGAGGAAATGATAGTATACAAATACATAGCTAAATTACTTATTATCTGAATAAAATCTTCAACAATATCCGTAAAAAAAAATAATGAGGAAGTGAAGACTAACATAACACCAGAACACAACTACAATACAATGGTACGATGAATTTTGAATATCGAAATGAAATCAATTATATGTCATTGGAACTGTCCATGAATTGGGCACATTGATTTTCAAGTTCTTATTTTAAAACATAAATTATTGGCACACATCCCATGTTTCCAACACAATCTCAGATTTAGTTTTAACAAAAAAGAAACTGTAGTTTTTTTTTTTTTTAAATGCATTTATCAAACCTGTTACCAAAATTTCAGAAAAATAACTTCTGGTTACTTATAACTTGTAAATTGAAACAATAGAAAAACATTTACCAGTTAAAGGTTTTGCTTAATTTACACATTCAAAACTTTAGTAACACAGTTGCAAAAATTCAGATATAAATGTAAATAAAATAGCTCAGATAATATTTAGAAAAAAGTCTTTCCACTGATCTTTTTTTTTTTTTTTACAAAAGATTGCATGGAAATTTTCAGTTTCAGGCTCTAGATTTTACCCAGTTCAGGTTATCACGCTTGGAAGAGCCAGGACATTTAAAAATATATATATATATATAACTTTGATTGTATTCGTCTGAAAGAGGAATGTCATGTACACCTAGGATGGCTTTAGGGTGAGTAAATCATGGACTAATTTAAATTTTTGGATGAACTATCCCCTAATCATTAATGATGGATCAAGAATTAACACTAACCTCTTTGTTCTTTTGTATCTTCATCTTCCATCTTGCAGGGCTCTGGATCACTCATGTTCTCAATGTTCAACTGTCTTCTTCACTTGATGGGAACATTCCAGCATTTATAGGCGAACTGCATGTGGGAGGAGCTTCACTGTTGAATTGCCGTGGGAGAAGCTTCGAGTTCTGTGGTAGGAACAGCAGATCTGCTAATATTTTTAAAACAGCATTACATTTTTTGTTTCTATTTTCATAGATGGATTGTTAGTTACAAATTCATTCTATATACTTTTATTTTGTTTGTTGGTCGATTTAATATAAACTTTTTATACTGTTATGTGTCATATGAACAGATAAAAGAAATAGAAGAACCAAGTATTCAAATTAGTTAAAATATTTCATTTCCAATTATAAAAATTATGTAATAAAAAATAATAATATAAAATAATTAAACAGAAGCATAAAAAAATTCAGTTTTGCATGAAACAGTTGATCAGAAACTATAATGAAAAATGCTGTTAAGAGATTTACATCATGTAGATTTCAAAAATGGCAATGGTGTAGTTTGTTTCATCCATTGAAACCTATGAAACAAGCATAAAGTGGCGGTTTCCAGTGGCATTATGCAGATGAATAAAGACATCAGCATAATGAATGAGGTGAAAACAGGAACTATTGTCATGAAATCAGCAACTGTTAACAGTGGCACTCCTGAAACATCAGCACATATCTCACTTTAGTGTTTGAGTTAGAAACATTACTTTGAGTTAGTGATGCACCGATGTGAAAATTGTGGCCGATACCCAGGGGCGGATCTAGAAAAATATTTATGGGGGGGGCAGGAATTTTTGAGGGGTGGCAACATGGCAGACGTATATATACTGAATTTAATCACAGTTAACACCGTTTGATGAGAAATCGTATGTATACACACTACAAAAGGGCATTATTTGTATCTTTTTTTGTGGGGGGGTTTGGGGTCACCTGTGAGTACAGGGCTGGGCTGGGACAAAAAATCGTCCCGAGCATTTTGGCCCAGACTGGCCCACTACATATGATCATAAACACAACCGAACTTTGCACTCCCTTGAATATGTATACCAACTCCTATAAAAACCACTAATGCCATAAGTGAATAGGAGTGAGTAAGAGTTAACAGATGAAATAACTACTAAGTTGAACTATACTCCACAGTGATGAATCCTAAAACAAGCTATAAGCTGCATTGGGATAGCAATACCGGTTTTTCCCATAGGATTTTGATAAATCTGTGGTGAGTAACCTCTGTCCCTCTAGGGGGGTTCGGGGGCATGGTCCCCCGTAAGAAAATTTTGTGCTTTTTAATGTTAAATTCATCAATCTGGGGCACTTTGAGAGTTCAAAATAAAGAGCTACAACCCATATTCAGTGTGCAAATTGAACAAAGAAAAACTCAAAACTCTTTTTAGTTGTGATATAGTGTCTGTCTACATTACACTACTATATAATAATAGTTATAATATTATGGCCAGTCCAGCCCTGTGTGAGTATAAAGGCAGGGGTGCGTTTAACTTTTGGAGCCAAGGTGTGCTGACCTTTTTTCCCTTTTTTATATATTATTTTGTTGAGCACCCAACAAGAATCAATTTATAGAATCAATTATATCATTTAAATACTACTAAGATCCAAATTACTATCACACGAGCCAATGGCAATTAAATGCACGGATGCATAACGTTAGTCAGATTAATGAATGAAATACAACTCTTCACGAATAGAAGATTGTATTGGACTCATGCTGCATACATACGCAATGACAATTATGCCTACTGTAAATGAGGAGTTCTTTTCCAAAACGCTATAAATCCATTCCAATAGTTTTCAGGAAAATTACATTTTTTACCTAGACCCACACATTTTGTGAATATTCAATTTATCCTGTTAAAATGTTTTATTGGCTCAGTCTGAACATGTTGAACAATGATTATTAAATCAAACAACAATATTGTTTATGATAAATTAAAAGTTAAATTTTTTTTTTCCCAAAACGCTATAAATCCATAATTTTTTTCCAAAACTGTATGGTTTGTCTTTAAAAAAAAAAAAAACGAGAGCATGTAACATATAATCAGGGGCTCATACTATAAATTACTATAAATTAAATTTAGTAACACATTTAGGCTAGAAGTCATTTGGTGCAGAACCTGAAAATAGTAATGATATCAATGGCTATTCAATAAGTTATTTAGTAATAGATTCAGAGTAATTTTTAGTAAAGTGTCAAACCTGTAACAAGTAGGACCAATTTGTCTACTACATATGCGTAAAAAAAAAGAATTATTAAAAATATTTAACAATGATAACGATATTCAAAAGTAGTGATGGGCACCCCTCCACCACACACACACATGCTTGTATAGGCTACACAGCATGTGAACAAAGCGGAGCGGCGTGACGCTTACATATAGGCTAAGTAAAAAAAAAAAACTTAAACATACGTTTCATATTTATGTTTAATAATATATGCTATTGTTATTTTTTTTATTTCATATATGTTGATTATATGAAAAGGGAACCGCATGAGATGAGTATGATAGGATCATAAGATGACCAATATATCGGAAAACATTTGGAATGGGTCAGACATGATTTTGACCACTTATTAAGTTTTGTTTAGTAGAAAGCCTTTCTTTAAAGTGAATTTCGTTTTGTATAAATTGTATCTTCATTTTAATCAATGTTTCATCAACAAATTGACTGGATTAATAATAAATAAATAAGAAGCGAATATAGCAGACATATAATCAGGACACGGAAGCGCCCGCGCGTGATCTGGAGAGCATCACATAAATTGACCGAAACACAGCGATGTCTACATTTAAACAAAACAATAAAAACGAAAAGAAATTGGCTACTCTCTGCGTATGTAGGCTAATACAAAGTGTGCATTTCTCTCTATAGACGCGTTCACTACTGCGAAGATGGCGAGTCAGCATAGTCAACTTTATCCTTGCAGCTATATCTGACAGAAAACACTAATTAAAAAATAAACAATTCAAATGTTTCATGCATAGGCCTAATCATTACTTTTGTCGGTTCTTTGTGGCAAGCTTTATGCGTGAGATGCGGAATAGGCAATAAAAAAATGCTCATTATGGTTTCTCTCCCATATTTAAATAATTAAATCAATATAAATATGTGATTAAACTTAAATGAACTACTACTAGTCGACTAGAAAACTCACTCATTTTGAGGAATAAATGAACATAAACAAACCTCTGTTCAGAGCGCCACCCTGTTGGATTGGTAGAACGTTCACCGAATTCTGATTAGTCGAGAGGATTTATCGCGTTTAGGCTAAAAATAGGTTTGGCGCTTATCGCGTTTTGGAAAGAAACTGCATCTTGTAGTACATTTTAAACAAGGAAATATAGCGATTTGGCATGAAATGTTGATGGAGCAGTGAATAGGTTCAGTGCACAGCAAAATGACATGACAAACTCATTTTTTTTTTAAATGGCGTTTATCGCGTTTTGGAAAAGACCTCTTCAAATGTATTTCAATTAATCATAAAATGGCCCTGATATGTCACTAGACATGAACCCTTTCACACGTAAGTTTAAAATATTCTAACTGACCCCCCAGCGTGAGTTTTTCAAGGCGACCGTTATTTAGAACCTGCCACTTTAATGTTTCCATGGTGACGCGTCATTGCTTGTCACGTGACACAGCGCAATCACAACACTGAGCTGAATGAGTGATGATCTGATTTTATGTCTTTCTTCCTTTTCTATTCAAAATATTCACAAATGTATTCGCTATAGCATGAAGCACTGATATTCCGATTTTCAAATATGTGCAAGTGGATGTGTTTTGTTGTTTAAACACCTTTAAAACGACCGCGTTAGTTGAGCTGTATGCGCGATGGGCGGCGCCATGTTAGTTTGTTTCACAGTTCAGAGAATCGGATCTGTTGCTTCTCACGAAATACATGAAAGTAAGTGGCCACTGAACTGGGAGAAGAATAGGGTAAAATGTAAAGCTACTTACACAATGTGTATCTGATATGAATAAAACTTTTCATCTTATTATAATGGAAAGGATTATTATTGACGCTTCCATAGACATCAGTGTGTATTTTCAAACTCAAAATCATTGTTTTGCTAGTTCTTATGTGTATTTAAATGTCTGAAACATAAAAATAAACATTAGGTGGTTTAAAATACTCAATAGTTGTGATATATGACAGCACTTTCGCGCGCCAGCCAACGCGCGAAAGCACGTTTGAATTTAGCAGTTGATCACGTGATGCACTGACCGTTCTAATCACACCGGTGTGATCGTACGCTCCAGGGACCAGCCAAGACTGATCACACCGGTGTGATCGTACGCGTGAAAGGGTTAAGAAATCATGTTCATTTCAAATACTTATATCACTGACAACAGTAGTCCGGCCAGGATATTGTCATTTAAAAAGTGAAGTTGCAGCCCTCAACTGATGTTGATGTTGTCATGTTGTGTTTTGGTCTGATGCTCCACCCTCCACCTATCTACCAATCACGAAGTCAGTAGTGTTGCGGCATCCGGGTTGCCAGCTCTGCTCTAGTTACCACTTCTTGTAGCAGCCTACGTTCCTGCTGGATCCTGCAGCCTATCTGGCAACCTCGAGTCAGGGGGAGGGGGAGAGATACAGTAATTTGAAAGTGATTGCAGTACCAGTTTTGGCCACAATCTTACATACGGCTCCTTTAAATAGCAATTCACAGGCGTTCTGAAAACATCAGCATAATGTAGGCTATGTATTGATATGAAATTGTGAGGCATTAGTAGTTGTTAATAGTGACACTCCTAACAACACAAGCCTTATAGGATCATCAGCAGACATTTCACTTTATTATTAGATTTTGTAGAAACAGATTATTTGAGTTAAGATATAGGCCTAGTAATATATAAATTACAGTTTTACTACCAGTCATTGTAAATTTGATTATCTAATTATTGCACTGGGCAAAAAAGGAATGAAATTGTTTACTTGTGGGTAAAAATCCTCAAAACGACCAGTGTTTTTTATTTCTAAACAGAAAAAAGAATAAACGGTTAGTTAATTTATTTAGGCTATAAAGATATCTCGTGTCATTTTTTTTTCACATTTTTATTTTTGTTTTCTTCATATTTTGTTCTAATCCACCAAATGGAAAGACAATAAAACCAAATTGGAGAAACAGTTTGAATATTCAATCTCTACATGGGCGGAAATAAAACACCCCTTTGCGCTAATTGGTCAAACAAAGATCAAGCCGTGCTGTCATCAGTTCTTAGCGCAACAGAATAATAATATCCGTTGTACCGAATACATTATTACAGAGTTTATTGCAACCACATCTAGGGGCTTTTTACCCTTTTACAACTAAAAATGTAAAACTTTGTGTGCATTTTGGCCTTTCCTTTACACGGCAACAGCGTTTTGGGTGCCTGAAAAAGCGAACTTTTGAAAACAGGCTTCAAAGTGAAAGTTTTAGAAAATGGTCTCTGTGTAAACAACAAAAACGTGAATCTCTGAAGACAATGACATCATGTACATGCGTGTTACGTGTTCAGTCTAACGCCATCTAACGGCCTGGCAGCATAATACAAAGCTTTTAGTCGTTTTCTCAGAACCGTGTGAATGTCATAGACAGTAAAAGAAATGGACACAGCGACCCCATAGATTTCAACGGAGAAAAGTGAAGCACTCACTTCCTGATGGCTGAGCGTACTGCGCAGGCTCAAACTGTGACGAAAGCAACCTGTCTGACAGTTGTAAGTCCTCTAGTAGCTGTGCCGAGAGAAATCTGAATCATTCCCTTCCGAATCTCGCAGAGACGGAGAGCGTGAGTATTAGCTGTCCATAAGCTAGCAGCAGGAGACACTTTATGACTCTCTATGGGCTTCTCCCTTTACTTTATCGGACTTTATGCCTCCACGTCCCCCCGATTGCCTGCGAGCTTCTCCTCCTGTCTATACGGTAATTTCTCTACTGTGCGACGGAGAGTCGTGTTATGACGCAATCGTTAGCCTATTTTTACAAAAACTGCTTCTACGGGGCCATAATGTAAGATACAAGGTAATGGAGCCTTTTATACATTGTCGGGTTTCTTTAGAAATAAATAATGGACAAATTGAGTCTTTAAACGCCTCAGATGTAAACTTATTCGCTATCAAAGTGACGCCAAAATGAATGGGAATGCTAACAGCAGGTGATGGTCTGCTACAATGGCGGCTACCAAGGGAAGCTTCAGTTTCCAGGGCTGCGTTCCAGTCCACTTTTAGACACGCACTTGCGAACTTCCCTAAGCACTTCCCCTCGGGGGAATCCCTGCCGCCATTTTGAAGTGCGTTCCACTTCGTGAAGTGGACGAGGGAAGTTTATATGGACAGACACTTGTTCCCTCGATTTTGACCGAGGGAGCGAGTCTACTTCATATGTACACTTCAGGCAGCTCCATATACCACAATGCAACACAATTGTGACGTCACCGCAGATCTCGTCTAATCACCACCAGCACAAACAACTCTGATATATTAATTATATATTTTTTTAATTTAAAACAACCCAAACACACCTATATACATTTGGATGCTGCATTAAACAAATTTTTAAATGAAAACAAAAAATTAAATAATAAATCAACTCCATGGCTGATTCCAAGTGATCAAGGGCTTAGGACGTTCCAATTCAGCAAATTGCAGTTTCCGCCAGTAGTGGGCACTCGTGCAACGTAAGCAATGACGTACATCCGAGTGAACAAGACGGTGGGAAGTTAGCGAGTGAAGGGCATGACAATTTTGGACTGGAACGCAGCCCAGGTGATGGATTACCCCCTTGGTGAATGTGAATGTCCATCTTGTCTCAAGGACACGCCCTCTGAAATATCATGAATATTTCAGGAACTAAATATATTGCAACACCTGTCACTATGAAGACAAAGCTGTGGCAGCATTTTTTGCTAACGTAATTCTACAAAGAAAACAATATACTATATTATTCCCATTTATAATGTAGGATACTTAAATATACCATTTCTGGGGAGGTGGCCATTGATAAAATGAATGAGGATGAGGAGTACATTTACATATCTCTCAACCACATAAACATAAAGTGTGCCAACTTTCTTCTTTTTCAATCTCTGTATCTTTCAAATTATCAAATAAAATGTAGTGCAACATTGGTTCATTTCACCATGGTGAAATGAGCCAATAGTAATAGTAGCACAGTAATATTAATAGTAACGCAAGACCTTTCATTGTTGTTTTTGAAAGTTGCTCAGAACAAGAAGTGGTTACTTTAGTTTCAGTTGCAGTGTGAGTGATGATGATAACCTGAGATTAAACCTTCAGTCTGATTATATTCTGCAAATCAGAGACTGTTGCGAACCCAATTCTTCTAATCTTGTCATTTTCAGTGGAAACCCTCTCATAACAGAAGGTTATCAGATATATTTATGTGCTCTTCTGAATCCACTAAACTCCACCAGTCAGTCTTTCAAAAATGTTTCTGTGGACCTTGTTGACTTGTTTTATATCTGTTCATGGTGAGTGTATTTTTAAATTATTATTATTAGTTATTCTGCTTCTAATAAATTAATTTAATTTAGTTGATGAATCTCTTGGCTATCTGGAATCTCTCTTTGCTTCCATGCTATCTAGAATTTGTGTTCTCAGACCTATGAATATGCAGAAAAAAGTTATGGTGACAGACATTTCCTTTTTTAAACATTTTAAAAGTTTTTTCCCCATCAACATAATATATAAATATATTGCAGATGTGGAAGCGGATGGAGTTAAGATAATATTGGTGATGGAGGGAGATTCTGTCACCCTACACACTGATGTTACTAACATTCAGAGAAATGATCACATAACATGGGAGTTTGGAACTGAAAAATTATGTATTGCTAAAGTCTATAAACACAGTATTCATATGTATCCTGGTGCTGATGGGAGATTCAGAGACAGACTGAAACTGCATCCGACTGGATCTCTGACCATCACAAACACCAGATTCAGTGACGCTGGATATTATACAGTGTCTATCAGCAGCTCCAGAAGAACCTTGCGGGAGATATTCATGGTTATTGTAGATGGTGAGATAAATATCACTGTCACATTGCCTTTTACCCTTTATTTCTCTTAAGGCCAATTTATACTTCTGCGTCGGGTGCGCGCAGTAGGTACGGCGTAGCATACGCACAGACGCGTACCATACGCCGTACCCTTCGCCGTAACCTGACGCGCACCTCCTCAAAAATGTAACTACACGTCGCGACGACGCGGACCGCAAGATCTGTGATTGGTCGGCTTGGGAGCATCGCGTTTCCTCCTATGTATTTCCGGCGTGTTCTTCTGCACCGCCCGCCATTTTTAAATTCTAAGTAGGCTACAGCGAAACTGTAAAAAAAAAAAAAAAAAAAAAAAAAATTACCTTTTCCACCTCGATAAGCTCCAACTCCAACATGATCTGCTCTCTTTCAGTCGACATTGCTTGTAGTAACCTAAACTCAAAACAGCCGCGAGGAATCTTCTTCTTCTTGCCGCGAGGAATCTAAACACAGTGGAACATTAAAACCCTCCGCCGCCAACTAGCATTTCGGCGCTGTACTGCAGAGCAACGCAGACCTAAACGCAGAAGTATAAATGCTCATGACGGCGTCGCCTACGTGCGTAGCGTACGCCGTACACTACGGCGTACACTCGACGCAGAAGTATAAATTGGCCTTTACTTATACATTCTGTTGTGTCTCTTTCAATTGTTGATTTTTGCTTGAAAGCAGCTGTTTCAACACCTGTCATCATCACTATAATCACACAAAACGAAGAGAGTCAAACTCCGAGTGATCGAGACGATTCTCACCTCATCGAGCTTCCTTCATCTTCCACATCTTTTCCAGCTCCTCTGCCTGTACCTGAGATTATCAGTAACTCTTCACAATGTTCATCATCTGGATCATCAGAGTCCAGATGTTCACTGGTGTGTTCAGTGTTGAATGTGAGTCATGTGACTCTCTCCTGGTACGCAGGAATCAGTGTATTGTCCAGCATCAGTGTGTGTGATCTCAGCATCAGTCTCTCTCTACCTCTGGAGGTGGACTATCAGGATAACAACACATACAGCTGTGTGATCTACAATCCTGTCAGAAACCAGACCACACATCTCAACATCACGCAACTTTGTCAACCATGTGAAGGTATATCAATGCATGTAATAGGTAATTTCCAGGCAGTTAGGAAAACACCATAAAAATACATTTTCGAATAATATTTTAATATATTGGTGCAAGTATATTACGACCGTTTATGAGGTATTGAGCGCAGTAATGGTTGTGTTTTTTTATTTTTCTTCTCTCAGACTCTGTCCAGTGTTGTAGTTTTACTGAAGCTGTGATCCGATTGGTCCTCTCTGTTCTGGTGGGCGTGGCTGCTGTTGCTGTATTGGTTGATCATTTCAGATCCATGAAAGTTGAACAGAAAATGAGGAAACAGACAGAAAACAGTCAATCACCATCAGTTCCTCAATGATTAATCCTAGATTCTCCCATGTGGTCAATAGATGGTGAACTTAAAAAACCCTCACCAATGATACACTGTGAGTAGGTGTTACAGTTCTTCTGTATACTTTGCAAATCAATGTCAATTTACAAATCATCATATCAATAAAGTTTAAAACACTTCTATATTTTGAAGTATTGGTGGTTGTTTTTTTGTGCTGTATGGAGAAATGTCTATTGTGTTAAAAATGTCTTATTCTTTATTAAAGCATATCTTCCTCCTCATTGTGGTTTCCAAGGTGACTTTCGTTGCCAGATAACACATCAATGTTATCTGGCAACGAATTCAGTCAGCTAAAAAGGAGAGGAAGGAGCTCCATGTGACATTCCTGGATTTGGCTAATGCATATGGTTCAGTGCCACATGAGCTTCTTTGGGCAGCATTTGATTTTTTCAGAGTACCAATGTCAATAACAAATTTAGTGAAAGCCTATTTTGGAGATTTGCAATTTAGTTTCTCAACTCCAAAATTCAGCACTGCATGGCAATGCTTAGAGGTTGGAATAATGGCAGGATGCACCATTTCTCCACTGGCTTTTACCATGGCAATGGAAGTAATCATTAGGGCATCAAGATGGGTAGTAGGAGGCAAGCGCTTGGCTTCTGGGATGCGACTACCACCAATCAGAGCATACATGGATGACATGACAACCATGACTACAACAGTAGCCTGCACTAATCGCTTATTGGGGAAGTTAACAGATAATATCGAATGGGCACGAATGCAATTTGAGCCCTCCAAATCAAGGAGCATCTCGATAGTTAAAGGAAAGGTAGTAGATAAAACATTCTTCATTAATGGTGAAGCAATACCAACAGTTTCTGAGAAGCCAGTGAAGAGTCTTGGGAGATGGTACGATGGGGATCTAAAGGACACAGTTCGAGTGGGAGAAGTTAGACGACAAGCAGTGGAAGGGTTGAAGAGCATAAACAGCTGTGCTCTACCTGGCAAACTAAAAGTCTGGTGCTTTCAGTTTGGTCTACTGCCGAGGTTGCTGTGGCCACTGACTGTGTACGAGGTTTCTTTGACAACAGTGAATAAGCTGGAAGCGTTAATAAGTCCATACATCAGGAAATGGTTGGGAGTTCCACGCTGCCTCAGCAGAGTGGGACTTTATAATAAAGGAATATTGCAGCTGCCAGTCTCTGCTTTAACCGAGGAGTTTAAGTGTGCCAAGGTCAGACTGGAAATGACCTTAGTAGAGTCACGCGACAAATGTGTAAGGGAGGCAGCCCCTGTGTTAAAAACTGGTAGAAAGTGGTCAGCAAAGAAATCTGTAGTAGAGGCAAAGGTTGACCTTCAAATTGGGGATATCGTGGGACAGGTACAGCATGGAAGAGGGGGTTTTGGGCTCAGTTTAGCTCCTCCTGAGGCAGGCCCAGCTCAAAGGAGGAAGCTGGTAGTCAACGAGGTGCGAAAGCAGGAGGAGAGGATGAGGTGTATAAAGGCCATTTCCCAGGCCAAGCAGGGAGAGTGGATGAGATGGGAGAGTGTGGAACAACGCAAGATGGGCTGGCAAGACCTTTTGTCAATGGAAGAGAGCAGGATCAGTTTCCTTATTAGGTCAACATATGATGTTCTCCCATCACCGCAGAACCTAAACCTCTGGGTAGGAGAGGATCCCTCTTGTCCTTTGTGTTCATCACCTGCCACATTAAGGCACATTTTGACAGGATGTAAGGTGGCTCTTAGCCAAGGTCGGTTTACTTGGCGCCATGACCAAGTATTGCGATGTTTGGCTTTAGCATTGGAAGGCAAGCGTAGTATGACCAATAAGTTGCCACCTGTTCTAGCAAAACATTACACGCAGAAGACAATATTCCTCCGCCCAGGCGAGCAACCACCAAGAAAAGGTGCTAACACCAATTCTCGCCCAGGACAACTGGAAGCTGCTAGGGACTGGAAGATGCTGGCTGATCTTGATCAACGGCTTATTTTTCCACCTGAGATTGCCACCACTAACCTACGACCAGATATTGTTTTGTGGTCTGGATCAGCACGCATTGTTCAACTGATAGAGTTAACAGTGCCATGGGAGGATGCGGTAGATGAGGCATATGAGAGGAAGAAACTGCGGTATGCTCATCTGGCCACTGAAGCAGAACAGCGAGGATGGAGAGTCCAGGTTTATCCAGTGGAAGTGGGTTGTCGAGGCTTTGTGGCACACTCTACAACCCGGTTCCTCAGAGAAGTCGGATTCAGCGGCCAAGAGTTGCGTCGCACAGTAAAGAACTTATCTGAAGCAGCAGAAAGGAGCTGCAACTGGCTGTGGTTGAGACGGAAAGATTCTGGCTGGCTGTGTACAGGCCGCCACGCTACGGTTTCGTAGAATTCTTGAAAACTTGAAGAGTCTGTTGGTTTATTTGTATGTGTTGTGTAGTATTTACAGTCATTACGTTCCTGTGTATATTGCGTGAATAACGGGTGGTTGGGCAAATATTGTGTTTTGCGGTAGGTGGTATGCCATACGGAACCGTTGCCACTGAAACTGCATATTAACGCACCAGTGGGGCTCGACAGCCTTAGTCAAACAGGTTGGCACGTATGGTTGGGTTGCGGAGAGATTGTGGTTAGGTCTCAGCAGCAGGGGGGATGTAGAGGTCAGTAAGCTGGGCTGAGTTGAGTGGAGGACGGAGGGGGGTGACTCTGGGACGCCAGAGTCACTGTCGAGCCCTCTTGAGGTGTCGTGGGCTAGTCGGCGAAACACTGAGGACGGAAGGTGCCCACTTGAAGACCCTAGAGATGTCCCCTACTCGGCTCAATCCAGACGGTTGTCATGCTGGTCCACTAGGGAGACCACACTGTAGTTGCAGCCGTCGTGTGTGCTGACGCGCCAAGTACAATGCAGCCGTTAACGCCGGATAGAAGGGGAGTCACACCACCATATGGAAAGAAGCGTAAATGGATGAAGCATAGTTTACTGTAAAGCTACGTCTTAGTGTTGCTTATCTTGGCGAAAGCCGAGTACAAATCAGCATGAAGTTTTAACATCTAATCTCGTGTAATGGAAATCTATGGAGTTCAATGATCTAGTGATTTGTTTTGAGTCAGACAACTGATTCAATCAATTAGTTATTCTCTTAACTTGAACAAAGGGCTCAACAGTGTGAGGATTTAACTCGCATTTGTGACCAAAATAGATGTGTGCGAACTGTAAAAGTTATTTTATGTCTTAAATTGCACAATATAAGTGAGGATAGTTTTAACTAGTTTCAACATTTTGGGCCAAGCATGCAAACCAAGAACATCTATGAATGAATGATGCATTTTTTCCCCCAACATTTTGTAGCTGGAGAGACATCCATTAGTGATCAATTCAATGTGTCTCTAATTTCTAGATGTTGGTAGTGTTTAAATCAGCTCCCATCCTGAAGAGGGCGCTGAAGGTCAAGCAGGCCATGATGCAGCTCTATGTGCTCAAGCTGCTCAAAGTCCAGATGAAGTATCTGGGGCGGCAATGGAGGAAAAGCAACATGAAAACCATGTCAGCGATATACCAGAAAGTGCGCCATCACCTCAACGAGTAGAGGAAGAAACTGGACTTTTTTTTTAGCTTGGTCTCAGTACATTTTTATCATGTCAATATTAAGGCCCTAATATCATAGGTACAGTATAAGTTAAAAGTTAATATTGCTGGTCACATTACAGAATTTGTGGTATATGCTAAAATTAATCAAGCAAACCAACATAGGTCAATGGTAAACCTGTACTAACAACAGCTATTTACCACAGCTGCCAAACATTTCCCATCGTTCCCACACAGTATGACAGGACAATTAAAATAATCAAAATAGAAAAACAGAAGTATAAACAAATTAATTTTAAAAAATGCACTGTAAGTAATAAATAACATCCCAACTGAGTTTACTTGTCATTTAGTTTTTTGTTGTTTTTACATTGAACATGATTTATCACAGATTATAATGAAATGCTGTTAAGAGAATTATAGTTTGTTGTCTTTTGATACCAATGAAATGAGCATTTTGAATGGAGTGGCAGTTTAAAAGTGATTTAAAGACATCGTTGCTAGTGAAACTCTCAAAACTTAAAGCTGCAGTCCGTAGCTTTTCCTCTTTGTCGCCATCTCTCTGTTCGAAATCTGTAACTGCAGTGATTCGCGGAATTATCATCTTTACGTGGGTTGTAAATCGGCATGAAACAGCGCGGATGAACACAGTGTTTTGAGGCGAGTGCTGCTGTCAGTCACCGCGCTGTGTGGATAACGTTACTGTCATACAGAATCACAGAATCACGTTTTGAAAGTTTGACCAACATAATAATTTTCACCAGAAAATGTCTTCTGAACAAGTAACATCCATTTTGTTCTGACCAACTAAGGGGGAAAAAGCATTCGACATGATAAGCTTCGTTAGATTTAATCAACGCGATTTACAGCAACCGTGCAAATTATAGCCTACTTTGTTCTCAAATTGTTCATGTTAACAACATCAGCATTGCGTGACTATGGTTGTGTTTTATGGTTACCTGTGTAGTTCAGAATTCATATTCTCCATAATAGCAAAACGAGAAAGGCACAACAAAGGAAACTCCATAACTGTGTGAATTAAGAAAACGTACTGTTACACGATTGAACTATTGAAATGCCTTACTTGTTCAGCAGAAAAAAGCCGTCTCTTCTTCCGTTTTGAACCCCTTCAAAACACGGAGTTCACGCACTTTTCAAAAGCCCCGCCGATGTTTAAATCCTTGTGTTCGCATGAGACGGTTTCTTTCTCTAGCCACCTTAAATCCGAAGTACGAAGTCTTTTGGGTTTTATAACTGCTGAATCTCCAGTTGACACTGATGATTGTCGTTTGGATCTTTCTGGATCCGCCATAAGTTCAATTATGTAAAGTGCTGCGAGAAAAGGCATCTCTACTCTCCCCAACGTCAACATCCTCACGCGCAGTATAGCTAGCCGAAACTCCTTCTTTATGTGTACGGGTGTGACGTAATGACGCAAAGACATGCTCGAATTTCCCGCGGAAACCCACCAGTACCACTGGAATTAAAATCATTATTACAAGCTAACCGTTTTGAATCTAGCTATGGCAAGCAGATAGTTTTGACCACTGGCAGAATATGTTTTTTTTTTATATATAATTATTTTGGATTATTTTTAACTTAAAAAAGTTACGGACTGAAGCTTTAAGTAACTAAAATTCGATTTGCAAATGTAAATGTCAAGAGAAATACTGCAATACAATCGCTTCACCGCTGTTTGTGATCGATTCCCAATTCCCATTCTGACTGTAAAATTATCACTCCAAACACTGAAATAATCACCCACACCAACATACACAATAAAACACAAATTCGGTCAGACCTTAACATAATGCATTTAACATTAGTTCCTCATATATTGCCTGCTGTGCTAAATGTATTCCAGTCAGAAAATGCACAAAATAGCTCAATATTGAATTGAGTTCTATTATAGGATTTAACTTGCCTGAGCTACCCTTTTCATGTAGAAATTACATTCGTTTTTTCTGTAGCATTTACTTCACCACAAAATCATTTTTATCTGTGTACTCGATAAAACAAAGAAATGACAGCTCGAGTGAGTGAGGGTGTTAGTAGTAACATAATACTCACGAGACGATCAAAAACATACCAAATTTTATTAGCTAAGACTAAAACATTGAAAAGTCAACATAACAGTTATTAAAAGATATTAATAAAAATATTAAAAAAACACTTCATTGAAATTATGAGAATATTACCGGCAGCTAAAAGCACAAGGAATTTACAACAGTGTTCTCATAGTGTTTTCACAATTGATCACTGTTGTCTCTTTCGAATACCCATCTACTCATGGCCTAATGTGATCATTAAGGGCTTCTTCTTAATGTGAAACTCTTCCCGCACTGATCACATGCACGGTTTCTCTCCAGTGTGGATCCTATTCTGTTTTTTCAGGTTTGAATCTCTCGTCACATTGTCAACACGGTTTTCCTGCAGTGTGAATTCTCTCGTGCTGCTTCAGTTCAGCATCTCTAATAAAGGTCTTCCCACAATCAAAGCACATATAATTCTTCACACCACTGTGACTTTTCTGGTGTGATTTTAAAGCACTCAGTTGACTAAAACTCTTTCCACACAAATAACACATGTGAGGCTTCTCCTTTGTGTGAACTTTCATGTGGCTCTTTAGGGATGATGCTGAAAAATACATTTTCTCACACTGATCACAGTAAAACGATCTGTCTCCGGAATGAAAACGTAGATGTGATTTAAGACTGAATGCACGTGAAAAACTCTTCCCACACTGATCACATGTGTGCGGCTTCTCTTCAGTGTGGATCTTCATGTGATTATTAAGGGTTTCTTTTCGTGTGAAACTCTTCCCACACTGTTCACATGTGTGCGGCTTCTCTCCAGTGTGGATTCTCATGTGACCATTAAGGGTTCCTTTAAAAGCAAAACTCTTCCCACACTGTTCACATGTGTGCGGCTTCTCTCCAGTGTGGATTTTCATGTGATCATTAAGGGTTCCTTTAAGAGCAAAACTCTTCCCACACTGATCACAAGTGTGCGGCTTCTCTCCAGTGTGGATTTTCATGTGATCATTAAGGGTTCCTTTAAGAGCAAAACTCTTCCAACACTGATCACAAGTGTACGGCTTCTCTCCAGTGTGGATTTTCATGTGATCATTAAGGGTTTCTTTTCGTGTGAAACTCTTCCCACATTGATCACATGTGTGCGGCTTCTCTCCAGTGTGGATCATCATGTGTACATTAAGGGTTTTTTTTAGTCTGAAACTCTTTCCACATTGATCACATGTGTGCGGCTTCTCTTCAGTGTGGATCTTCATGTGATTATTAAGGGTTGATTTTAGTGTGAAACTCTTCCCACACTGTTCACATGTGTGCAGCTTCTCTCCAGTGTGGATCATCATGTGTACATTAAGGGTTTTTTTTAGTCTGAAACTCTTCCCACATTGATCACATGTGTGCGGCTTCTCTTCAGTGTGGATCTTCATGTGATTATTAAGGTTTTTTTTTAGTCTGAAACTCTTTCCACATTGATCACATGTGTGTGGCTTCTCCCCACTATGGACTGTCATGTGAAGTTTAAGACTTGTTTTGTGTAGGAATCTCTTTCCACACTGAGGGCAAGAATTTTTGTCTCTGTTCAAAGATTTTTCTCCAATTTTGACATGATGATGTTTCTCATCTCCTTCACTCAGTTCTTCACTCTCCTCATTCTGTTCAATTAAGCCTAAAATTAATCAGAACAAAGCTTTATTTGCATTCATCTGTTCTCCAAAGCAGTTATCCTATGTAGAGTCACAAGGGAGTTTATTTTCTGTATATCCTTAAAAAATGAAAAGGAAATGTCAAAGTTGACACTAATGTAACACCAGAACGTACACTGAACTAAAGGATTATTAGGAACACCTGTTCAATTTCTCATTAATGCAATTATCCAATCAACCAATGACATGGCAGTTGCTTCAATGCATTTAGGGGTGTGGTCCTGGTCAAGACAATCTCCTGAACTCCAAACTGAATGTCAGAATGGGAAAGAAAGGTGATTTAAGCAATTTTGAGCGTGGCATGGTTGTTGGTGCCAGACGGGCTGGTCTGAGTATTTCACAATCTGCTCAGTTACTGGGATTTTCACGCACAAAGATTTCTAGGGTTTACAAAGAATGGTGTGAAAAGGGAAAAACATCCAGTATGCGGCAGTCCTGTGGGCGAAAATGCCTTGTTGATGCTAGAAGACAGAGGAGAATGGGCCGACTGATTCAAGCTGATAGAAGAGCAACTTTGACTGAAATAACCACTCGTTACAACCGAGGTATGCAGCAAAGCATTTGTGAAGCCACAACACGCACAACCTTGAGGCAGATGGGCTACAACAGCAGAAGACCCCACCGGGTACCACTCATCTCCACTACAAATAGGAAAAAGAGGCTACAATTTGCAAGAGCTCACCAAAATTGGACAGTTGAAATCTGGAAAAATGTTGCCTGGTCTGATGAGTCTCGATTTCTGTTGAGACATTCAGATGGTAGAGTCAGAATTTGGCGTAAACAGAATGAGAACATGGATCCATCATGCCTTGTTACCACTGTGCAGGCTGGTGGTGGTGGTGTAATGGTGTGGGGGATGTTTTCTTGGCACACTTTAGGCCCCTTAGTGCCAATTGGGCATCGTTTAAATGCCACGGCCTACCTGAGCATTGTTTCTGACCATGTCCATCCCTTTATGGCCACCATGTACCCATCCTCTGATGGCTACTTCCAGCAGGACAATGCACCATGTCACAAAGCTTGAATCATTTCAAATTGGTTTCTTGAACATGACAATGAGTTCACTGTACTAAAATGGCCCCCACAGTCACCAGATCTCAACCCAATAGAGCATCTTTGGGATGTGGTGGAATGGGAGCTTCGTGCCCTGGATGTGCATCCCACAAATCTCCATCAACTGCAAGATGCTATCCTATCAATATGGGTCAACATTTCTAAAGAATGCTTTCAGCACCTTGTTGAATCAATGCCACATAGAATTAAGGCAGTTCTGAAGGCGAAAGGGGGGTCAAACACAGTATTAGTATGGTGTTCCTAATAATCCTTTAGGTATATAGCCTACAACTGCAATATAATATTATATATATAGGCACAAATCTCATGTTTCTGACACAATCTCTCTTAATTAATGGATTTCTTTTTTTATTTATTTTTTTTATTTTTTATTAGGCCTCCCATTATAAGCATTGGCCAATTGAATCCAGTCTCAGCTTTTACACAAACTGGAGAAGTGTATCAGTAACTTTTAATTTATGACATTTAAAAACTTTAGTTTGTTGGGGGAAAAAATATAGAAAAGAGCATTTCAGTTTCAGGCTCCAGTGTCCTGTAAATTATTTGATACTTTAACCATGTTATTTCACAGCTCTTTTAGGTCAGTAAATTCAGTTTTATGAATTTAATATGCATTAATGATGACGAATCAAGAATAAACACCAACCTCTTTGTTCTGGCTCACTCATGTTCTCAATGTCCAAGTGTCTTCTTCACTTGATGGGAATAATCCAGCATTTATAGGTGAACTGCTGTGGGAGGAGCTTCACATTCTGTGGTAGAAACAGCAGATCTGCTCAAATCAAAAATAACCAGTTAGCAAACGGATGTTTCCATTATTGCACATATTTTATTCATTCAATGTTTTGTTTACATTTTCACATATAGATTAAAGTTACAAATAAAGTTATTTTATCTGTCATATGAACAAATGGACAAAGAAATAGATAATTGGAAATAAATACCATAATTGAAATATTTCATTTTCAAATATAAAAATATAGCCTACCAATAATAGCTACATTAAAATAAAACAATGGATAGATAGAGTTGTAAGCAACAAATAACATCCCAATTCAGTTCAACTTCATTTATAGCTTAGTTTTTAGATTTGTGTGGTTTTTGCATGAAATATGGTTTATCACAGACTGAAATGAAATGATGAGATATAGCCTATCTTATCTTGTCGATTTATAAAAGTGATAATGGTGTAGTTTGTGTCAGTCTGTCAGCACTGATGAAATGAGCTTTAAGTTGCAGTTTTCATGTGATTTAAGACATCAACATAATGAACGAGGTGAAAAAAACAGGAACTGATGACATGAAATCAGCAGCTCAATAGTGACACTCCTGAAACAAGCCAAACACAATAAACAGCACAGATCTGACTTTGTTAGGCCTATTTTGGTATAAACCGATTATTTGAGTCATAATTTTAAAGTATACAAAACTACTGAACTAATACTAAATGCAAACCTGCCACTAAATGATTATTCAGCTTGCAACATCAGAAACGACGCAATGAAAACAATGCAGAAATGACCCGTGGCATTCCTACCGTGTTTAAATAGTAAATGTACGAATCTCTGTAAACTGCACAACTCACCTCAGAAGACTCGCGAGGGGGCTGGAGTTGCTGAATCATAACGACAAAAACAATAACACAACAACAAAATAAACAGCAAAGGTTGCACGCTGAGCAGAGCTTTGCGAATGTGTGTAGAAAAGAAATTGGTTTCGCCAGGTGTCGGTGATGACGTCACAACACATTAATGATCTTCAGCAACCGAGGAACTCCTTTTTTTTTTTTTTTTTTTTTTATTGAAGGCAACATTGGGTACAAACGTGTAAAACCATCAATATACAATCAAACATTTATACAGACATACCATACCAGAGACAAAGAACAAAAAAAAAAAAAAAACTAGGAACTCCTTACAAGTAAAGCGATTACTGGCAATGGCCTTTATTGAACCATACGTGAATTTATTATGATCCCAGAAGAGGTATGACTTAAGATATTTAGAATAGTAGGACAATGCAATGTCTTTATTAAAATGAATATTCACTTGCCACGCACTGTTCAAGCGCATGCGCTGTTTGGTCCATCATTTAACGCCATAATTTAACAATAGCAGGTTATTTAAACTGGGGTCTGAACTAAGACATGCAGTTTAATCTGCTGGTAGGTGTATAAAGGCCATTTTAATGAGAAAAAATAGGGTGTAACGAAGCATCTATCAGAACGATTTTCTCTTTTCTGCCTCTGTCTCCAGACAGCAATTTGTCAATGTAAACTTCATGCTTGTTTTTCTGAACATGCCATTTGAACCGATAAATAAATATAAAGGCAACCATATGAGATGTCTGTTCTATAAGTGTTGCAGCCTATTAAATGACCTGCAAATTTGAACTATTTGATATGATGGTGAACACATTGAATTATGTGAAGCCAATTGAACATTATTAAGACCTTTTTGGCTTTTAACCACTGCGTTCAAGAAAGTAAAATGTGCTTTTACTGCCACTCAAAGGACAAAACTGAGTGTTCGTTTGAACAGACAATTTCATAGTTCCTCTATCTGTTTTCTCCACTGTAAGTTTATATTGCCGTTATTTCAGATGTCATCCAGCAGCACATGAACACGGTTTATAAACCTCCAAAGTCCAAACATCTTCAGACTGCTTTAGAAGCTCTTCGGCACTATGAACAATGATAAAGCTCGGGACACGGAGGGTGAAAATGAGAGAATCCAGAAGATTGGATGAGGTAACAAAATAAAAACACTTTGAAAAATTGCAATTGACAGATGCAATTCAAAGATTCACATTTGTCAATTTTTGTGAACTAAATACTGATCCTGTAAAGGTTTGCATGACTTAATGAGAGACAGATGTTAACTTCATTTATATTGAATCACAATAATGCATAATCACACCATTTGCTATCCTATTTACTGTATTATGTTTTTTCAAACATGACTGTGTGTGTGTTTTATGGAAATGATCTGAAATCAGTGTTTATCTAATAGGACACACTGCTGAACCACTCATGGTTTCTTACACACTTTCTACTCAAAGGGATAGTTCATGCAAAAATGATTTTTCATGAAAGACTTTTTTCATTTCATGAAAGACTTTCATTCATCTTTGAAACACAACTGCAGATATTTTTGATGTATTGAGAGATGTTTCTCTCCTATGACAGTCAACGCAACTAGCACAATCACATCTTTAAAGTAATGTGATTCGCATCACTTCATAAAATTGAGATTAAACCACTGAAGATACATGGATTACTTTAATTATGTTTTTAGAGACTGTCAATGGAGGGACAGAAATATCTCAGATTAAATAAAAAAGATCTTCATTTGTACTCCAAAGATGAAAGAAAATATTTTGGGTTTGGAATGACAAGGGTGAGTAATTGATGACAGAATTTTCATTTCTGGGTGAAATAACACTTTAAACTGATGCATGTAGATATCACATCTGAATGTCCCTCAATAAGGCCTTGGTTCAGTTTTAGCAGAACTGTCTTTTAAAGGCACCATTCAGCACTTTGCACTTCCCAAATTGTGTTTCTCTAAGTAAACTAAATTGAGGCCCAACGTATTTGTCTTTTCTTCCTCTTTTCCATGTTTCTTCTTCTACTACCCTGAAGCTATAAATTCTTTAAAAGAAGGTGATTCTTTAAAAGTATAAAATACTAACGTGCCTAAGACAGTGAGGACGTCGGACTATTTCTTGTCCTGCACCTGTGACTAACTTGGGTTGAGGATCTGCACACTTTTTGTAATTGTCATACCGGGTTGGATGTGGTGTTCTTCATCTATTGCTTGCCTAAAACTGTCATCAGTTCTGCGCCATGCATTGACAAATGCCATTCTGTTCGACATGCAGTGTGTGT